AGAGAACGTATTCTGGTCTAGGACTGAGCGTGGTTATGGTGAGATGACTCTGTGACACTGGATCAGGGACAACAGACAAGGATAGGAGACTGTATTACTTATCAAGGAACGGCGTGAGCGACAGAGGTCATGTAGTGTGGAGCGTATAGGAGAGAGAGATGCAGTGGTCTTGGATATAGCATGTTAATTATGGATATACACATGGAAGGGAGGATGACTTTGCGAGAGTTCGATGAGTATGAAGACAGACGAGGGAGAGGTGTATGAGTTGGCAGCGAGTAGGATCTGCATCTGCACACTCACACATGCACGGTGTGGGGTGTTAACACACACTGGCTGGCATTGACAAGTGGATGACTGATAGAACAACTACGGTTTTGACATTGGTATAGTGGGGAGAGACACACGGATACACATATCTAGTGAAGAAGGCACAACTTATCACTTGAAGTCAAGTACATTGGTTTTGAACACCAAGAGACAGGCAGATAGGAGGGATGTCTCAACGTAAATGTACAGATGATTATCAGGGTTGGACTGGGATGGCGAAGTGAGACAGTATACGCACATCGTTGTAGTGATAAGTGGTAGACACACAAGATTATGGAGAAGGTTGAGATTACTTGATTAGTTCACATTCTGATGTCGTAGATGGCTTGTGGGGAGGGGGAGATGTAGTTATATGGGGATGTATCCGAATTAATGCGTAAGACACAGTGTCACAGATATAGAGGAGTGAGTCAGAGGAGGCGGGCATGTGGAGCAGAGGCAACGCTGGCGATATCATTTGTAGCGATGACGACGTGGGGGAGTGGGTGGTGGGCGAAGACGCATCGTTAACATTATAAGTAGTGGGAGACAGGAGCGTATATTAGGTAGCGTGTGTCATATGAGTGCACAGTGGTGAGTTACAATACACGTAGTGTATGGTTAGGGTGGAGTTATCCTATGTACAGTGTTGATAGTGTATGGAGATATCAGTGTGAGCTCTGGGTGGGTTAGCTGTGCGGATGGTGTGTGTTGACAGATATTGGTTATATCTAGATGCTAGTGATCTAGATGTTGCCTCAGATTGAGGGATGGAGTATATGGGTCAATGAGTCTTCCTACACAGGGGTTATTGTTGGTGCACAGGTATTTGGAGTAGCTCTATCTATAGAGGTACTAGGTGTTGAACGAATAACGATCTAGCAGAGGGAGTTGAAGAAGCGACGGTGAGCACAGCTGTGTTTTATAAGGAGTCTAGGATTGTCTGGTGTGGATTGTAGATACGAGAGTATCCATGGGGATGTATGTTGGCGAGTGAGGCAAAGCAGGGGAACAGGTGGCGCGTGGAACATGTGGATGGCAAGTCGAGTATATGGGGTATAGGGAGTATATGAGGGGGTTGTGGGGAATGGTGGTATGGTGTGCGAGAGAAATGTGTGTTGAATGTGGGCACTTATAGTGACTACACACGTAGAAATATCTACTTTAGTGAGTGGATAACATGTGTATCATTATATGACGGTTGAAATTATTATATGGTATACTGTTCAGGATGGGTATAGGATAATGAGAAGTGAGTTCAAGACTCATAGATTAGATCGATTGGAGAACTTATATAGGAGTATAACTGTGTGAAGTCTATTTAGGCAATGAAGACGAGACTGTCTTGTCGTCAAGTGAAGTGTGGAGAAATAGTACTCGAGAGGGAGTGGTGGCGTGCCAGACACGGAGAGGGGAGTGTATATGTAGGGTGATGGTAGAATGGCAGCATGACATTGAGATAATTGTAGGTCTTTGTATCAGTGAGGATATCACTTTGTAGGGGGACTCACATAGGGGACGGACGAGATAGACTGGCTGCATCTGGCATTAAGTACAGTAGTGTAGGCGACAAAGGAAGGCAGGTCTTAGAGGGTATGTAGTGGACATAGTAAGAGCGCAGTATGACTGGGACAGAGTGTCAAGAGAGTGCTGGTGAGATAGTGAGCACTCATAAGAGACAATCTAGAAAATGGTGTCTAGAGTTGGATGTTATATTATGAGGTATGGTAGATGGATGTAGTTAGCATATCACTATATGTGTATGGGGATATAGATGTACAATTACATGAGGCGATTACTTATCTACGGTAAGATCACAATCTTAGATGTCTTTGGGTATGTATGTATGAAACGATCAGGACATAGAGCTGTTAGAGTGGTTATATATGTGGATGAAATTCAGAGTACATTGGGTCATGGGGTGGTGGACAGGATTAAGGGTAGTATGACATGTGGACACTCACACGAAAGAAAGCCTGGAGACGGTTTCTAGGGTAGAGAGTTCTAGACTTCGGGTGACAGTTGAGTGTATGCGAGGACAGGTACATAAGGGTTTTAGAGAAAGTACTGTGGGAGAGTGATGGGGATGGGAGGTTTTTGTACCGAAGTACAGGAGGATAGTAGATGTGAGCTAAGAGATACATGATGTTGTGACAAATGGTATATATACATCATGAGAGTAGTTGTTGCTTGTTACACATGGCGAGATGAGAGAGTGCTGATAATCAATGCATAGAGCATGCATAACAGTTATACTTCTCAGTGAGTTACTATAACAGGTCTAATGTGGTTTCAGAGTGTAGCAGGTGAGCACTTACCACTCACGATTATCGGGGTACAGTAACACAGTATGTTGGGAGTTGAGGATTGTCAGGGATGGCTGGTTGTATTGCTATAGGACAACTGAGTAAGGTGGTGTGGGGACACACTCGATCAGGCAAACATCTATCGTTGGGAGAGGGGAACATGAGGGAATAGGCACGTTCTGTGGTCGCGCACATTTCAGATCTCGAAGTGCTACAAGCAGTCACTAGGTCAGTTTTAGATCGCATGGTGATCATTTCACTTGGGTTGGGATGAGAGATAGAGGTGCGTAGTTGATGCGATAGATAGGAGAGGTGCAGTAGCTCACATGTGACTGCGATATGGGCGTGTCATAATAGGTTGCAACATTCAACATTGCAGTGTCGAGCAAGTATCTCACGTTATCTATATGTGCTGATCATGGAGAGTGATCTCCTGAAGTGGCGCAGTTGTCTGTCTGTCTATTTGAGAGAGCACGTGAGAGTCTAGACTAACGATGGGAGATAGCACACACTGGATCTAGTTGGTATTGAGAGGCGAGCGACAGATGAGGAGTCTCTAGAGATGCGATTCAGATGGTGACTTTGATGAGTCAGATAGGAGGTGGCATCAGGTGTTAGATCTTATGGGTGTTACAGACTGTACGCAACATGGCGGTTCGGTAGAGTGGTGGAGAGAAAGTGAGGGTAGTTAACTCTACCGAGTTGATCTCTGAGTAGTTTACAGTTAGCGAAATGTATGAGTGAAATATTGACACAGGAGTGGGTCTGAGGAGAGACTACAAATAATTAACATGTAGAGATGGTCTTTGATGAGAGCGATGTTACTATAGAAGGGTGCGCAAAGGGGTAGTATGAGTGGATGGACTGTAGTATAGACATCAGAAGACATAAATAAATTGTGTCGGCATGCGACAGCACAGGCAAGGGAGTGCTGTAGATGAGGTTTCTTAGAGGTGACATACAGGTGTGTCAAATGTGGTGCATTGAGTATTGGGTAGTGATAGTATAGTATAAATATTGACGTTTGTGATTCGGGCGTGTGGCGATATGTACGGGTGCTGCGCACAAAGTGGAGGTAGTGCTACATGGATAGTAAGGGCAATGAGATGAGGTTAATACACAGGCGGTTAGGGGGTGGCATGGTCTAGTCAGGACACTAAAAATGTATCACACGAGGTAACATTTTGTGAGGAAAGATACACTGTACGTGTGACACTAGGAGTGTGGATGTGCTACGGTATGGGAAGGAGACATAGCAGGTGGTGAATAGAGTACGGAAATGGATTGGACATTGATAGATAGACATGAGGGTCAAGGGCATCACGGATGTGTGATGGGATCTAGACTTAGAGAGTATAGGAGAAGGGATAAGGTGGATGATGAAGTGTATGATATAAACATTAGCACTATATACATGAAGTAATGTATGACAGTAGTGGAGAGGGTGACATAAAGTGTAGGTATGATACAGATATCGACACGGTGTAGCATGCCTACAGACTGGGAGTCTATATAAAGGGCATATGGATATGCACGTAGCGGGGTGTCTAGTATGTCTGATATTGTATGACATATGACTTAGGAATTATACAGAGCGAGCTGAGGGGGGGGAGGGGAGAGGGTATTTGGAGATGGGTTAGGGGAGGGGTGGGAGGGTTTAGAGTGGGGGAGGTATTTGTTGGGGTTTTGTTTGAGGGGGGGGGGGGGGGGGTTTGGGATTTTGGGAGTTGGGGGGGGGGTATATATGTGTTTATATGGAAGTATGTGGTTGGTGGGTTTGGGGGTTTGGTATGGGGGGTGTAGTGGGGGTGTGATGGGTTAGGATATAGAGGATGTTGGGAGGAGAGGTGGGGGGGTGGTATTAATGTTGGTATAATAGGGTTTGGGTGGTTGTGGATGTTGGTGGAAGTGGGGGTATTTTTTGGGTGTTTAGTTGGGGGGTGGGGATATTGGGGGGTGGAGAGATGGATGGTTTGGGGGGTGAGGGGGGGGGTTTGGGTTGGGTTTGAGGGGAGTGGATGTAGTGATTTGTGTGATATGTTATAGTTTTTTGTATGTATAATTATTGTTGAGTAGTAGGGTTGGATTGTTTAGTGGGGGTTGAATAGATTAGTTAGGTGGGGGTGTAGGTGTGTGTTTAGTGGATTGAGGTTGGGGGGTGGTGGGTGGAGGGGGTATTTGATTTTGGGTGAGGTGTGTAGGGAAAGGAAAGTGGGGTGGTTGTGGGGGTTTTGTTGGAGATGTGGGGGGATTAGGGGTGGTTTATGTGGATGGTTTTTTTGGTATTTGATTGATGTTGGGGGAGGAATGTGGTGAGGTATGGGTGGTATGGTGGTTTGAATGTGGGGAGTAGATTTGAAGGGGTAGTGGAGATGGGGGAGGAGGATGTGGGGGGGTATGGGGGGGTTGGAAAGATGGGGGGGTAATGTTGTGGTTTGGGGGGGTGGGGTGATTGATGGGGGTATTGTGAGGGTGTTGTGTGGTTAGTATGGTGTGAGTTTGATATGGGGTAAGGGTGGGGGAAGGTAAATTGGGGGTGTTTATGGGGGGGGGTTGTGTGGTGTGTGGTGGGGGTAAGGGAGGGGGTTTGTGTGGTTAAGGGTTGGTGATTTATAAGTGTGATTGGGGTGTGTAAGTAGAATTTTAATTTATTTGTGGAGAGTGGTGGGGTGTGGGGGGGGGTAATTGATAAGATAGTGGGTTGGTGGTGTTTTGTAGGAAATGGGGGGGGGAGCGGTAAGAAGGTTGGGGTAGGGGGTATTGGGTTGTGTGGTTGGAATTGAGGAAGGGGGTTGATTGAGTGAAGTTATATGTTTAGGGGTAGGGTGTGGGGTGTAGTGTGTGTGGTGGGGTAAATAGTATGGGGGGAGGGGAAGGGTAGGTATTGGAGGGGGTGTAGAGGGGTTATGGAAGGGAGGGGTTTAAGGGGAAGGGGGGTGGGGGGGGGTAATTGGGGGGGGGAGTGGGGATTGGGTGGTGTTGTGTGGTATGGGTAGGGGGATGGTTAAAGGTGGGGTAAGGAGTTGGTGGTGGAGGGAGGGGTGAAGATTGGGGGGAAAGGGGGAAAAAATTTGGGGGGGGTGGGTGATTAGTATTGGGGAAGTGAGAGGATTGGTTTTTGGGTTTGGAAGTTTGGATGGGGGGTAGTGGGGTTTTTTTGATGTGAGGGTGGATGGGGGATGTAGTATAGGTAGGAAGGGGGAAGGTTTTTGGTATGGGGGATGTGGGGAGAGGTTTAATTTGGGATGGTGGGTAGTGAAGATAGGGGTTAGGGTTTATGTTTGTTGGTTGGAGGAATAGTATTGATGGATTATATTGTTGTGGGAGGAGGAATGGGGGTTTTTGGTTGGGTTTGTAGGTGGGTGGTGTGGGAGTTTTTGGGGGATGGTGGGGGTTTGGGTTGGGGAAGGGGGGGGGGGGTAGGGGGATGTGGTTTGGTTGGTGGGGAGGGGGGTTTTTGTTAGGTTAATGGGGAGGTTGTTAAGTGGGAGTTTAGTGGGATGTGAATTTAGGTGAGGGAAGGGAATGAATGGGTATGTATGTAGATTTTATGGTTGGTTTGGATTGGAGTTGGTGGGGAATTGGGGGTGGTTGTTGTTTGGATAGTGGGGGTGTTGTAGATAGGGTTTTTATGTGGTATTTGGGTTTGATTGGGAGAGTGGGTGGGGTTGATTGGTGGGGGAATGGGTGGTTGATTTGGGGGGTTTTATGGGGTTGAGTGATTTTGAAGGTGGGGTGATATGAATTTAGGTGGGGATTTTTAGGGTGGTTGGTATGGAAGGGGGAGGGGTGGGGTGTGTGTGTTTTGGATGGGTTTAGTGATTTTGAATGTGAATGGGAGATGGAGGGGTTGGGTTGTGGGTTTATGTTAAGAGAAGATGAGGATTTAGGGGGTTATTGTGTTAAGTGTAGGGGGGGGGTTTTGGAGTGGGGGTGTTGTAGGGGGGGGTATTATAGGTGGGGGTGAAGTAATGGAGTGGTGGGGGATGGGTGTGATATAGGGGGTGTGTGTGGGTTTGGGTGGGGGGTGGATGTTGAGGGTTTTTTGGAGGGTTTGAGTGGAAAAGGGGGAGAGGAGGTATAAGTGTTTTTAATATGGAGTGGTGTGGATTGGGGTGATGTGATAGGAAATTAAAGATTGTGTATTTGTAGGTGGGTTTGGGTAAGAGTTTGGGTTGTTGGGGGTGGGTTGGTGGGGGTGGGTATTTGGTGGATGGAGGTAGGGTAAATGTGAAGAGGGGTGGTGAGGTGGAATTGGATATTGTGAAAGGAGGGGGTGTATTTGGAGTTGGATTTGGGTGTTTTGGGAGGTGAGAAGTTTGGTTTTTAGTTAGGGGATTTGGTGTTGATATTTGGGTGTTAATGAGGGGAGGAGGGAGGTTGTGTATTGGGTTTGGGGTATTGGGGGGGGGGGGTTGAGGGTATGGGGTTATGGGTTTGTGTGGAATAGTTGATGGTGGGATAATGGGGAGGGTTTAGATTATGGGGGGGAGGTGGATTGTGGGGAGGTGGAAGAGTTTGGGTTTGGGTTTAAGGGTTAGTGTGAGGTGTGGGGGGGGTTATGGGGATTGGGTTTTATGAAATGGAGGTTTTGGGGGGGGGGGGGTTGGGGGGGTGGTGATTTTGTGATAGTGATAGGGTGTTGGGGTGTGGGTTGTTTTAATGAAGGGATAGGGGGTTAGAGTTTTGGATTGGTGTGTGTTGGAGGGGTATGGTTGGTTGGTTTGGGTTTGTGGTATGTTAGTAAGTGGTGGGGGGGGTGGGAATGGTGAGGGGGGGGGGTTGGTGGGAGTGGAGAATGGGTTTGGGGGTGGGTTGGGGGGGTTTGGGGTGTGGTGGGTGGTTGGGAAGAGGGAAAAGTAGGGGGTGGGTGGGGGGAAGAGTTGGGGGGGGGGGGGGGTGGTGTGGGGGAGTGGGGGGGAGGTTGTTTGGGGTGGTTTTTTTTGATTTTTTGGGGTAAGGGTGGGGGGGGGGGGGTTGAGGGGATAGGGGTAGGGGGAAGAAGGGGAAGGATATTGATGGGGAGGGTGTGGGAATGGAGAGTGTTAGGGGGTTTGGTGGTTGATTTGGTGGGGATATTGTAGGGGGAGTGTGTTGGATGGGGAGGAGTTATTTGATAGGAGATAAAATAAAGAAGTGTAGGGGATGATTTGAGTGGGGGTGGAATTGAGATTGGTGGAATATTATGGGGGTGTAGGGATTGGGGTAGTATGGTTTGGTAAGTTGATAAGGGAAAGGTGGGGGGGATGGAGGGAGGAAGTGTATTTTATATGGGGGGGTGTTGGGGTTTGAAGTGGGTTAGGAGAGAGGGAGGATAGGTTGGATGAGGGTGGTGTTTAGTTGGGTAGGGATGGGATAGTTGTGTTAGGATATGGTGGGGGGTGGGGGGGGGGGGATATGGGGGGGGGGGGGGGGGTTGGTGTGAGAGGGTGTGATGGGATGGTTTTGTTGTGGTTGTATATTTTGGTGATTGGTTTTGTTATGTTGGTTTGGTGGGGGGGGTGATGGTTGTGGAGGTGGGAAGTGGTGTTGGTGTGTGGGAGGGGGATGTGATTAAGTGTTGTTTGGTGTTTTAGGGTGGGTTGTTGGGTAGGGGGGGGGTTAGGGGTTGGTGGGGGGAGGTGTAGGATAGTTAGAGGGGAGGGAGGGGAATGGATGTAAGGGGGTAGGTGTATGGGGTTGGGGGGATTGATTGTGGGGTAATGGGGTGGGAGGGAGGGGTGGAGGGTTGGTTGGTTGGTTGTTAGTGGGGGGAATTATTGTTAGGGGAGGTGATATTATGATTTGTGTTTGGTAGGGTTGTTTGTTGGGATTGTGTTAGATGTGGATTGGATGTGGAGTGGGGGGGGGATTGGGGATGGTTTTTATTGGGTTTTTGTAGGGATTGAGTAAAAGGGGTGATATTTATGTTTTATATTTAGTTGTTATTTTATTGGAAGGGAATAGGAGAATGTGGGTAGGAAATGAGTATTTAAGTTGGTGTTATGGAAGGAAGGATAAGGAAGGGGGGGTTTTTGGGAGGTATTAGTTGAGGAAGATGGGGGGGAAGTTGTGGGGGAGGAAAGGGGGGGGTTGGTATGAGGAAGAGGTAAAGAATTTGGGGGGGGGGTGGTGGGGAGATTGAAGATTAGGGATTGGTAAATTAAATGGTTTATGAGGGGATAGTGTAAGGTGGGGAAGGGGTGGTTGTGGGGTTATGTGGTTGTTTTTGGGGGGGATAGGTTGGTTTTTTGATAGGTGAAAAGTGTAAGAGTAGGGAGTGGTTTTATAGTTGTTTGGTGAGGGGGTGTAAGTGTTGGGGTTGGGGGGTTGGTTTTGGGAGGGGGGGGTGAAAGTGTGGGTGGTGGGGGGGGGGGGGTTATTTGGGTTATGGGTGTGAAGGTATTGGGGGAGGTATGGGGGGTTGGGATGTGGGGGGGGAATGGGAGAGATGGGGGGGTTGTATTATTGTGGGGGGTGGGGAATAAGAAATGAGATAAGGTGTATGGGAGTGTAAAAAAGGGGTTGGGGTGATAGTGTGGATGGGGTGGGGGTGGGGGTTTAGGATATGTGAAGGTGAAGAGATGTGGGGAGGAATAATGTAGGTGTTTTAGTGGTGAGGATTAAGGAGGAGAGGGGGTAGATGGGAGGAGGGGAAGGAGGGGTTTGTTTTTAGGTTGTTCGGGGGTGTATTGGTAGGTTTTGGGGGGGGATGTTGGGTGTGGATTGGTGTTAGGAGGGATTTTATTAGAGGGGTGATGATGTGTAGGGAGGATGGGGATATTTGAGTTTTGTGTTTGAGGTGTGTGTAGGGGGTAGTTGTTGGTTTTGGTTATTGGGAGGGATGGATTGGTGTTGGGGTAGGAGGAGGGGGAGTTGGTTGGTGTTGGGGAGTGTTGTATGGGGGATGGGATGAGATAGTATATAATGGGAAGAGGGGGGTGGGGTGAAGGGGGTGAGGGGTGGGGGGGGAGGGGATTTTGAGAAGATTGTGATGGGTTATATTGAGTATTAAAAATTTAAGGGTTTATATAAGAAGAAAAGATGTTATGGGGAGTAGATTGGAAGGGTGAGTATTTGTATGAGAATATGAAAAAGGAATGGATGGTAAGAGGTTTTTGTGGAATATTTTTTGGTGGGATGGGGTTTTGGTTGTGTTGATTTATAGTGTGGAATATGGTTTAGTGTGATGAGATGTAGTTGGGGTGATTTGGTTGTGGTTGGGTGGGGGTGGTGAGGGGGGTTGGGAAGGGGAAAAAGTGAGGGGGTGGGGGTGAGAAGAGTATGGGGGGGGGGGGGGGTGGGGTGTGGGGGATGTAGTTTTGGTGGGGGGGTGGGTTGGTGATTGATGGGGTGTGTAGGAGGAGGTATGTGAGGGTAGGGGGGGGGGAGGGGTAATTTGGTTATATGGGTTTAGGGGGGTGGGGGGGTGGGTGAAAGTGTATGGGATATTGGATGGGGTTAAGGGGTAGGGGTGATGAGAGGGGTGTTTTTGTGTAAGATTTGTTTATAATGGTTGATGGGTGGATTGTATTTTTGGGAAGATTTAATTGGTGTTGGAAAATTGTTGTGTTGGGAGGGAATTGATGATTGTGTGGTAGGTTTTGGGTGAATAATTTGGGTGTGGGGTGGGAAGGAGGTTTGGGGGGGAGGGGGGGGGGGGGATGTTTATTGATGGGGAAGAGGGGTTTAGTGGGGGGGTATTGGGGTGGGGGTGGAGTGTTTGTGAGGGGTGTTTGGTTGGGGGAAGTAGGGGATGGTGTTTGTAAGATGATTTGGTTTAAAGTGGTGGGGTAATATTGTGAATAAATTGTGGAGTTTGTGGTTTTGTGGGGTAGGAGGGGGGGGGGGAGGGGGTGGTGAAAGGAGGTAGAGTGGTTGTGGGTGTTATGTATATAGGTGGATGGGGGTAGGGGGGGGTTTGTTGGTGTGTGGGGGGGTAATGGGGGTGTTAGTAAGGTTTGGGTGGGGGTTGAAGAAGGGAAATATGTAGATGGTGTGGAGATTAGATGGAATTTTTTTTTTTGGGGTGGGGTTGATATGGGTATGGAGGTGTGGTTTTTTGTTGATGGGGGAGGAATGAATTGGATGGGGGATTTAATGGGTAGTTTGTAGGGAGGGGGTGGGGGTTGTTGTTTTGTGTGGTGGGGGAGGGGAGTTTTTTTTTTTTTGATTTGTTTGTTTTTGGGATTTTGAATGTGATTGGGTGTGTTGGGAGGGTTTTTATGAGGTATGGGTAGGGGGGGGGTTGAAAGATGAGTATTGGTTGTGGATTTGATTTGGTGGGGGAGTATAAAATGTTGAGGTAGGAGTGATTGGGGGAAAGTAGGGGGAGGGAAAATTAAGGGGGTAGAGAGATGGTTGGTTGGAGAGTAAGGAGAGGGGTGGTGGTGAAGTGGGGGGGTGGAATATTATAGTTGAAGTGTAGTTAGAGGGTTTATTGAGATGGTGTGGGGTGGGTTTGGGTGTTTGGTGTTAGGTAGAGGGTGGAGTTATATAGTTTTGGTGATGGGTGAGTATGTGGGAGGATGGGGTGGAGTTTGGGGTTGGGGGGGGATTATTAGAAGTTTGTGTTTTGTTTTTTAGGGGAATTTGGTGGGGCGGGGGGGGGGTGGGTGGAGATTTGGGAGTATTTTATTTGATGGTGAAAAATAGTAAGAGGGGTTGTTTGGGGGGGGGAGATATTTTTGGAGGAGGGAGTAAAAGAAGATTTAATTGGAGGAGATAAGAATTTGGGGGGGGGGGTGTGGGGGGGGGGTTTGTTGATTGGGGGGGGTGGGTTTAGTTTTATGGAGAGGTTATGTGGTGGTGGGGGGTTGTGGGGGGGGGAAGAGATGTGTGAGTATGAAGTTTTTAGTTGGAAAGTTAGGGGTATTGGGGATGGGGAGGGAGTTGGTGGGGTGGTGGGGTTAGGATTAGAATAGGTTGAAAGATGTATGTGGGAGGGGTATGAAGTTGGTGGGTGGGGAGGGGGTGAAGATGATGGGGGAAGGTGTAGGAGAAAGGAGTATGATTGATGTAAGGTGTGGGGGGGGTAGTGGGTGTGATGGTGGTGGGGGGAGGTAATATAAATGTGGGGGTGTTTGAGAATTAAAGGGAAGTGTTGGATGGAAAGGGGTTGTTGGGAAAATGGGGGTGTAGTTTAGGAGGTTTTAGGGAGTTGTTTTATGTGGTGGGGTGGAGTTTAATGAGGGGGGAGGGGTTAGTTGAAAGGGTAGTAGGTGGGAGGTATATTTTGGAGGGGTTAGGGGGGGGGTATGAATGGAGGGATGGGTTGTGGGGTGGGGGTATGGGTTGGGTGGGGAGGGGGGGGGGGGAAGTTTTTTTTTTTTTTTTTTTTTTTTTTTTTTTTTTTTTTTTATTTTTTTTTTGTTTTTTATTTTTATTTTTTTTTTTTTTTTTTTATTTTTTTTTTTTTTTTTATTTTTTTTTGTTTTTTTTTTTTTATTTTTTTGTCAAAGATATTATGTTGGGGAGGTGTGTGATTGTATTTTGTATTGTGAGTGTTAAGGGGGGGTATTTTTGGTGGGGTGGGTTGATTAGGAGGTGGGGTGTATTAGATGTTGGGTAAGGTGTTATGTATAGGGGAGGGGAGGGTGGTAGGTGGGGGATGAAGTGGAGGAGGAGGGGGGGGTAGGTGTTGTATAAGTTTGATTGGAGAGGTGGTTAGGGGTATTATTGTGTGATGGTGGGATATTTTTGGTATTTGGATGTTGGGGGGTAGGGTGTAAGAGATTGTGGATGATGGGTGTTGAGTTGTTATTAATTATTAGAAAATGTTGGGGAGTGGTAGTGGGGGGTGAGGGGGAATATTATTGGGGTTGGGGGTGGGGTTGGGAGAAAGTTATGTGGATATGGATGGGTGTTTTGAGTGGGAGAGAAGGATTTAGATAAGGGATTAGTGGGGATAAGTGAATGGGGGGGGGGGGGGGGGTGGGGGGGGGGTTCTTAGATTTATAATTATGGATTTATTGGTATTTGGGGGGGATGGTGTTGATTATTGGGTGATTGGGGTGGATTGTGTGGGTTTGGGGGGGTTAGTTTGAGTAGTGGAGGGGAGTGGGAGAGGGGGGGGTGGGATAGGGGGGGGGGTTGGTTTGTTATTGGGGGGGGGGGGGGGGGGGGGGGGGTTGGGGGGGTGGGGGTGTGTGGGGTGGGTGAATTGGTGATATTTGTTGTTATAGGGGTATTAGTTAGGGGGTGTGGGTATAAATATAGTTTAAGGAGATTGGGGGGGTAGGGGGGATTAGTATATTTTTTTGGAAGTTTGGAAGAGAAGGTTAATAGGTGGGTGTTTGTTTGTGTTTTTTTGATTAGGGTGGTGGTTATTGTGTTTTGTATATTATTTAGATTGTTTATTTTTTTAGATGATGATTTGGATAGGATTTTTGTTTGTTAAGTTTTGGTATTGGATATGGTGGTTTGTATTGATTGTTTTGTGGTGTGGGGGGGTATGTGAAGGGGGGATTTGTTGGATGGGTATGATTTGATGGTTGGGGGTAGTGGGTTGTGTGAGGGGGGATTGGAAGGAGGTGAGATGGTGGGGGTGAGAATAGGGAAGGAGAGTATAGGGAGGGGTGGAGGAGGGTGGTTTAAGGGGGGGGGGGAGAAGGGTTTGGATTTGGTGGAGAGGGGTAATAGAAAAATGAATGTGTTATATGGGGATTAGAATAAAATTAGAATGGGGGGTGGGGGGAGTTATATGGTAATTTGGTGAGAGGTGTTTAGGAGATGGTATGAGGATTTATGGTTGATTGGAAGAGATGGGTAGGTTTGATTTGGTGGGATGGAGGTGGAATGATGTGGTGAGGTAGAGGAGAGGGGGTTTGAGGTGGGGTGAATGGAGAATGAGTGGTGGAGATATAGAAGGGGGTATGTATGGGGGGGTTGGTGGTGGTAGTGATATTGGGGTATGAGGGGTGTTTAGGGGAGGTTAGGGGGGGAAGGAGTATGTTGTTTTTGTATGGGAAAGAATGTGAAGATGGAAGTAGAAGTGGGGTGATGGTGGGGGTTGATTTGTAGGGGGGGGTTGGTGAGGGTGTGGGATTGGGGATTATTGTGTTTTTTGGATTGTGAGTATGGTATTGTGGGTTGGTTATGGGAGATGTGGGTGGGTGTGGGGGGGGGGTGGACTAAGTAAACAATAGTGGTGGGTCGGAAAAAATGGGTTGGAGTTGTTGGTCAAATATGATCTGATTTAGGCATTTTTCAGAAGATGTGATGAGATAAATAGGTGTTAATTGGTTACAACAACAGATTAACTGGTGGGCGCATACAGTAACGTTATTATGGAGTATGGTTGGTATCAGAGCTGTGTTTGGGGGAGTTTTTGAGAAGGCGAGAGGTATGGGTGTCGCGGTTAGTGTACTGAAGAAGTTGGTTATGAGGTGATATAGAGGAATATTTGAAAAATGGGGAATGGGAGGCGGGTGGGGGTTGGTTAAGGAATAGGGAGGCTGAGCTCTCAGAAACATATCAAGGTGAAGAGGAGTGAAAAAAAAAAAAAACAATAGAGTAGATGATCATTAATTGAGCGAAGATGAACAGATAACATGCGGACGAGAGGGGAGGTTTCACGGGTTTAGTAAAAATGAAGAGTGAAAAGAGTATAGGGTTTGAGTAGGGGGGTAGATGGGAGAAGTTTTGTTGGAGAAGGGGATTTGAGATGGGGGGGGGAGTAGGCGATGTAGGGGGAGATAAGGGGTGATTGATCTGTTTTTAATATGTGGTGTTTTTAGGATTTTGGATTTGTTAGGTTGAGGTTGAGGTTAGGTGGTGAGTATGGTATATTGATTGTAGGTTGTATGTGTAAGGTGTGGGTGGGATGATTGTTATATGGGATGGGGGTTTATTTGGGGTGGTGGTGGTATGTGGAGGATGATTTTTATGATTTGATTGTTTTGGGGGTTGTAGAGTGGATTTATGGTTATTGGTTGTTGGTATGTGGTTTGGTAAGTATGAGTTGAGTGGGAGGGGTGGTGGATAGGATGTATTTGTTGGTAGGGGATTTTGGTTGGTAGGATCTGGTTTTTTGGTGTGTTTGGGTGTGTGGATTATGTTAGAGTAGATGTGTGAGATGAGTTATTATGGAGAGAATTGTGACAATTATAGGTGAGGAGGGTGAGTTTGTGAGAGTTGAGATATGAGGAAGTGAAGAGGAATGGGAAAGGAAGAAGGAGAAGGAGGAAGGAATTTTATATATATAGGTAATTGATATGAGGTAGGAAGGGGGAGGATGATTAGTTTGGAAGTGGGGTGTAGATAAGATAGTTGAAGGAGAAGAGAGTGTGTATAGTGAGTGTAAATGAAAGATTATTGGGGGGGGGGGATTTGGCAAAGACCGGAAAGAATATGGGGCATCGGCCCTTTGGAATTGAACGGTAAGAACAAGGCAATAAATAAAGGTGAGATGGAATTAAGTAGATTGGACTAAATTATTACAGATAGGTGGATGAATATGTAGTGTGGAGGGAAGTTGTGGGTGTGGGGTGTAGAAATGGAAAGGTTTGTGATGAGGGAGATATTTAGGGGTAGAATATTGAGTTTAAATTTGTGGTGTTGGGATATTTGATGTTAGAATGGGAAGGGGGATTGGAAGAAGAGAGAATGATAGATAGTTAAAGAAGGAAAATATTATTTATGTGAGAAAGTGGGGGGGTGGGGGTTTTGAGGGGTTAGTTTTGTGGTTATGTGTAAGTTTATTTATATAGTTGGTAGATTTTTAATTGAGTGGGATGTGGAAAGGATTATGTTTGATATGGTATTGGGTTTGGTTTATTGGTTTAGTGATTGTGATGTTGGTTATTATTTTGTTGTAGGGGTTTATTTGTTAGGGGAGGGAGGGATGTGGGTGTGGGAGGTTGTTGGGTTTGGAGTGTTGTTGTTAGGGTTGGGGGGTGGTTTAAGGGTAGGGTGGGGTGGAAGAGAATAGGTATATTGTGGTGTGTGGGGGGAGTTATTTAATATGGTTATTATGGGGGATGGGATGGGTGGAGTTTGGGGAAATGGGTTGTATTGTTGGTGTTTGGGTATATGGGGGTGTAGGGTATGGGTGTGGTTGAATAAGTGGGTATTATGTAATTTTAGGTGGTGGGGTTAGTATTGGGGGTTTTGTTTGGTAGTGGGAGAATGAGATTGGGGTATTTTGGTTATTGTGATTGGGTATTGGGTTTGGGGGAGTGGTTGTTTGGGGGAAATAGGGGTTTGGGGTGGATTATGAGGGTTTGGTGGAAAGGGGGTAGGTGTGTGTATGTATGGGTTGTTTGGGTGTTGGTGAAGGGGGGTTGTTTTTGGTGGTGGGGGTGGGGGAATTGTAGGTTTTTTGTGAGGGGTTTGAATATTGTTGTTTGGGGGAGTTTTATTGATGGTTTGTAGGTGGTATGGGTGGGATGGGTTTAGTTAGGAAGGGGTGAGGGTGGGTTGTGTGTGTTAATGGTGTTGTTTAGGGGGGGGGTGATGGGGTTATAGGTTAGGGGTGTAGGTATGTAGGGGGGTTTTGGAGGATAGATATTAGTTTGGGTTTGGGTGAGTATTTTAGGTTGTGTGTTTTGGGTAATGAGTAATGGTGTGGAGGGTATTTTGTTGGGGGGGATTTAATGAAGGTGTTTTTTTTGTGTAGGGATAATATATGTGAGGGGATGGGGAATTTTGGGGTTGATGGGTTTTGGGTGGGTTTGTGATGGGAATTTAGATGTTAAGGGTAGTGGGTTGGGGGGTGTGGGTTAGTTGGGTGAGTGTGATTTTGATGGATTTATTTTGGTTGGTTGGAAGAATTGGGGGGTTTTGTAGGGGGTTTGGGGGTTGTAATGTTTTGGGGGTGGTGGTGTTTAGGGGGGTTAAGGGGGTGGAGTTTGTCATTGATTGAGGATTTTGAGTGTGATGGGGTGGGATAAGGGGATGTGGGGGGGTATTGGGTGTGAGAATATGTGGTGGTGGGGTGGAGATGTTTTTGGTTTTGTTTTTGGGGAAGGGAGGTTGGGGGGTGGGGTGTGGGTATGGTGGGGGGATGTGTGTTTGGGGGGTGGGGGTTGGAAAGATGAGGTTATTGTGGGAAGGATGTTGTGGGGGATGGAGAGGGGGGTTTATTGGTAGATTGATGGGATGGAGTAGTTTAAATATATGTTATGAGAAAGGAGTGTTATGGGGGTTTTGTGATAGAAGTTGTGGGTTAGGATGGGATTAAATGTATGTTTTGTGGGGGGGGGTATGGTGTGTGGGTTTTGAGATAGGGTGGGTGGGGTTTGGTTTATGTGAAAGTGTTTTGTTGGTTTGGGGGGGTTGGGTATGAGGGTTAATGTTAGTGGGGTTTTTTTAAGATGGAGGAATTTAGGTAGATGAAGGTTGGAGGGGAATTGTAGATTAAGGTGTTTGGTATTGGGGGTTGGGGTTTTTGTGTTTGGGTGGGAATTTTGTTTATTGGGGATATGATATAGGGAAGTGTAATAGATATAGTAGTTTGAGTTTGATGTAATTGGTTTTTTATGTAGGGTTTGTGAGAGTGTTTGATTGGGTAATGTGATATTTGGGGGATAATTTTAAGTTTTTGGAATTGGAAGGGTTATGTTTGGATGGGGAATAGTGATTTTAAGGGGTTTTGGGGATTGGTTATTAATTGAGGGAGGGGGAATTATTTGAGGAGTGTGGGAGTTATGTGATTGGTATTTGGGAGTGGGGTGGGGTGAGGTGAGAAGTTATTTGATTGGGATGGAGTAGTGGTTAGGGGAGTTTAAGATGTTGAGGATGATTTGTATGGGGGGATTGGTGGGGTGTGATATATGTGGGTGGGTGGGGGATAATTGGTGAATTGTTTTTGTTGAGGGGGGGGGGGGGGGGTGGGTGTGGTTGTTGGAAGGGAGGATGGGGGGGTGTTTGGTAATGGTTGTGTATGGGGGGGGGGGGGGGGGGGGAGTTTTTTGATAGGGTATGATGAAGTAGATTGTGAGGGAATTTTGGGGGTGTTTAGAGGGAGGATGTAATGAATATGGAAAGGGGTGGGAGTGAGTAGTGGGAAGAGTGAGATTGTGAAGGGGAATGGTTGGGGAGATTTTGATTGGTTGTGAGGGGTTTTTAAGGGATGGGAATGGTTTTTGGTTAGTTTTTAAAGGGGATAGTTTTGTTTTAGGTTGGGTTTGTGGGGTGGTGTTTTGTTGGTGGGATGAGGGTTGAAGGGGTTGTGAGGAAGGTATTAAATGGGTGAGGTGGGGGGGTGGGGAGGGAGGTTAGAGTGGGGAGATTGGGGGTTTTTTGTGGTTGTGGAGGGGATAAAGAGAGTTAATGAGTTAGGGTGTTGGTGATAAGGGAGGGGGAATTGGTGTTAATGAATTGGAAGTGGATTTGGGGGGTGGAGAGATGGTGAATTATATGGGTTGGGTGGATGGTATTATGTGGGTGGTTGAATGTTGGGGTGTGTGGGGGGGGTGGTTGGGGGAGGGTGGTGGGTGTTGGGGGGGTGGGTGTGGGGTTTGTGGGGGGTTTTTGTGGTTAGGGTTGGGTTGTTAATAAATGGGTAGGGTAGGTTGTTTGTAGTTTGTAATAAGAATTTTGTTGGGAGTTAGGGGGGGGATTTTGTTTGTTGGTTTTTTGGTAGTGGTGTGTGGGAATTGTGTTGAAGGGGGAAGATTTTTTATGTTGTTATAGGAGTGGGGGTGGAAATGGTAGTTATTTTTTGGTGATAAATAGGGGTTGGGAGTTTGGATATGAAGAAGAGGTTTGGTGGGTGAGGGGGGTTTTTATATATTGGTGGAAGGGGAGAGGGGTATTTATTTTTTTTTTATGGGAGGGGTATGGTGGGGGGTTAAAAAGTGAGGGGTTTTTTGTATTGTTTTTGTAAGGTGTTGTTGTGGGTTTGAATTGTTAGTTTGTGGAGATGTTGGTGTTGGGAGTGAGGTGGATTTTATTGGGTGGATGGTTATTGTATTATGTTTTGGGAGTTGAGGGTGAGATGAATGTGGGGGGGGAATAGGGGGGGGGTTGATGAATGTATAGAGGGATTTTATAAAGTGAAAAGGAGAAGGATGAAAGGTAGTGGGAATGATAGGTGAGAGAGGAAGGGAGGATAGTTTGGGGGAAGAGGGTTGGGGTGGGGGGTGGAGTGAGGATATTTTGTGTTTTTGGATGTTGTTGTTATTTTGGAGATATATTTGGGGTTGGGGGGGTGGGTGGGTGGGGTTGTGGGGTTATGGTATGGGGGAGGGGTTTGGTTATTTTGTGTTGTGGGGATTGGGTTATGGTGTGATTTGTGGGGGGAGTTGGGTATATGGGTGAAAGGGATAGGGGGGGGTGGGGATGGGGTTTAGTGTATTGGTTGGTGTATGTAGGGGGGAGGTATGGGTATGGGAGGTTTGTTATGTTGGATATTTTATGGTTGGGTTGTTTTGTTTTTTGAAAAATTAGGAGAGTTTGTGGATAGATAGATAGATAGATAGATTGAGATAGAGGGTGGGATTTAGGGAGGGGATGTTGAATGGGAGGTGATAATTGTTTTGGGGGTTTGGGTGTATAGATTGTTGTATGTGGGGTGGGGGGGATTTGGGTTGTGGGAAGTTATGGTTTTTGATTTGGGGTGGTTTTGGGGGAGTATGGGGGGGGTTAGGATGGAGGAGAGTTTGGGAGGGGAGGGGGATGGGGGAGGTTTGATTGGTTATGTGGGGATGTTGGTGGATAGTTTATAATGGGTGTTGGGTTTTTTGGAGAGGTATGGGGTGTTTTGGGGGGGGGATGTGGGTTTGTGGTGGGGGTGTGTGGGTTGGGGGGGGGTTATTAGGTAGGTGGTGTAGGGGTGGGTTTATAGGGTTTGTTGTTAGGTATTTGGGGGTTATTTATGTTTTTAGTGTTATAATGTGTATATTGGTGTATTGGTATTTGGGGTTTTGTGTGGTGGGAGTGTGTGTTTGTTGTTGGGGGGTGGTTTTTTGTTGTGTGGGGTTTTTGGGGGTGGTTGGGGTGTTGGGGGTGGGTTTGGGGGGTTGGGTTGGGGGGGGGTGTTTGTTATTGTGGGTTGTTGGATTTTTGGGGTTTGGGGTGTGGATTGTTGTGGGGGGTGTGGTGTTGGGGTGGGGTGGGTTGTGGGGGTTTGGTTTTGTTGGGGTGGTGGTTGGTGGGTATGGGGTGGGGTGTTAGTTGTGTTTGTTGTGTTTAGATTTTTATGTGTTTATATATATAATGTGAGAGGAAATTGGAAATGATGGGTTTGGTATGTGTGTGATGTTTAGGGGGGAGGGGGGATGGGATGTCTGTGTGGTGTATATGATATGGATGCTTATTGTGTAGGATGGTGGTGGGAACGGGGAGGTGTAGGTGAGGTAGGATGAATTGGGAAATAGGTAAATAATGGGTAAGGAATATGTGAAAGGTGAAGTTAAAATATGGGGATAGTAGAGGGGATGTTGAATTGATGTAGGTGAGAGGGGATGAGAATGAGGAGAAGGATTTAAGGTTGGAGATTTGGAATAAGGAGGGTGTAAGGGATTGGGATATGAGAGGAAGGATGTAGAGGGGGGGATAAGGGTGAGATAGATAAGAAGGGGGATGGTGGGGGTTGGGATGAAGGGGGATATGGGGTTGGGAAATTGGGTAGAAAGAAGGATAGGATTTAGGAGGTATTAGATGGGCGGGGGATTGGGGAAAGTAGGTGGGGAATTTGAGTAGGGAATAAGATGTTATGAGGGATGGTGAGGGATTTGGAGAGTAGAAGATATTGGGGTGAGAGGGAGGAGGGGTGTGTAGGGTGAAGGGGGGGAGGGGTGGTTAAAGGGGAATGGGATGTGAGATGTAGGGATTTAGATTGTGGAGTTGAGAATGTTGGGAGTGAGGTAAGGAAAATGATGGATATGGGGGAGGAGGAGGGTGGATTAGGTGGTGGTAGAGTGTTTAGTAAGTATGGGTGAGGGGAATATAGGGTAGGTGTAGGTAGTGGGTTTTGGAGTTTTAGATATGGGATGTAATTGGTTTTAGGGGGTTTGTAAGTGAAGGATTGAGGGAGAAAGATGGAAGAATGGGAAAAAAGGGTGAAGAAATGGTGAATGGTAGAGGATTATAATTGGAAATGTTGATGGATTTTAGGGTATATAGAGGGAAGGTAGGTTTGTTGTGGTTGGGTTAAGGGTGGTGGAAAGGGGGGTGTAGGTTAGAGAAAGTAGGGGAATTGATTGGTGATGTTAGTAATGGGAAAGGTTGATTTGGAGATGGGGTATTATGGGGTTTTTAGTGGGTGGGAGTGAGAAAGAATGTGGGGATTGTTTAGGTTTAAATATAAATGGTGTGTGGGTGTTAGGGGGTTGGTATTGGGGGTTTTGGGGGTAGATAAAGTTTTAGAAAATTTTTTTAAGAGAGGTATGGGTTTTTGGGGTAGGGGATAGGGGGGGGGGGATTTTGTGGGGGGGGGGGTTGTGGTGTGGTAGGAGGGGGTAAAAGGGGGGGGGTGTTTGTTTGGAGGATATGGGGGAGTTTGGTGGGTGGGTGATGGGGGGGTGATGTGAATGGGGTGAGTTTGATTTATGGTGGTTGTAGGGGGTTGGAGTTGAGGATGGGTGGTAAGGGTTATATAGGTGGGGGGGGGGGTGGTGGGGGTGATGTGTTGGGGGTGGGTGGGTAAGGAAAAGAAAGTGATTAGTTTATTTATGGGTGAGTTGATGGTGTTGGAGGGGGTTAGTGTTTGTTGATAGTGTGGGTGGATTGAAAGGGAGATTTATGGGGGGGGATGTGTGGGGGAAGGGAGTGTTGGGGGGTATATGGGTGGGTTTTTAGTGTTTAGGGGGTGGTAATGGTATAGGGTTGTGAGATTATGGTTGGGGAGTTGTAGGGTGGGGGGGTTAGGGAGGTTGAAAGGTGAGGGGGGTGGGGATGGTGGGGGGGGTTTGAAGAGGTTGTTGTTTGGTGGGTGGAGTGTATTGTGTTGGTTGGGGGTTGGGTTTTTGGGGGGGGTGGGGGAGTTATTGTGTAATAAATTAGAGTTTTATAATAGGTGGGGGGGGGGGGGGGGGGGGGGGGTGTTTAGGTGATGAATTTGGGGGATTGTTTTATTGTTTGGGGTGGGGAATTAGGGGTATAATGGTGTTAGTGAAGAGGTTTGATAAGGTGGTTTTTGAATGTTTTGTTATATGTGTGGGGGTGGAGAGGTGTTTGAGGTTGTGTTGAGGGTTGAAAGTTAAAGGGATTGGGGTGAGAGGTGTGATTGGGTTGGGGAAATGGTATGGTTTTGTTGGGTAAAGTGTGTATGTTGGTATATGGGGTTTATTGTGGTTGGGTTTAGTGGAAGGGGTATGGGGGAGGGGTAGGGTGTGATTTGTGGTTTTGAGGTATGAGAGATGTGTTATGGGGTGTAGGGGGTAATTTTGTGATGAAGTTTGAGTGGTTTATAAATGTGGTATGTAAGGTTTATGGTGGTATTTATGGGGTAATTTTATATTTAATGGTTGGTTTATGGTGGGTGTATTATGGGGTATTTTAATTTAATGGTTGGTTTATGGTGGGTATTATGGGGTAATTTTATATTAATGGTTGGTTTATGGTGGGTATTATGGGGTACTTTTTATTTAATGGTTGGGGTTTTGAATGTGGTGATGTTGGTTGGTTAAAGAGACTGAGTGATGGGAGTATTGTATTTGTTTGGTTAGGATTAAATGGTTTGTGTGTGTGATAGAGGGTATGGATTGGGGGATGTTGATTTTCACTTATCTGAAAAGTAATTACAATGATATTTAGTTATGATAGAGTTTTTATATTAAAGATGTCATTACTTTCAGTATTGTATAGACGTTTCATTTGTTTTAATTAGTTCAGTAGAGTTTTATGATATTGGGTTGCAATTAACGTATACAATGTAGGTAGAATTTGGATATTCATAGAGATAATTCTTTTGTATATAAATAAAGAAATTATAAGGATGTTTTGTTGAAGTTTGTTTTGAAGGAGGGAAGGGGTGTAATAGGATTGTGATTCGTTGGGATAAATTAGGGGAATCTAAGTGGGGTGGTAGGTTTTGATGTGGTTGTGTTAGTAGGTATTTGGAAGTGAGGGGGAGGTGTGGTGGGTATGAGATGGGGGAATATTTATAAGGTGAATTTGTTGTGTAAGAGTAGTTGAATCGTTTAATATTATATTTGGGATAATAAAATGATATATATTAAGGAGTTTTTGTATAAGAGTTTGTGTGTCAAATCTGGTCATGTTTAACTATAGGAGTGTTTATAGGGGGTAGACATCTTGTGGTAAAAATGTGGTGGGGGGATGGTGTTAAGGTTGTTAGATGGGATGCTATCTAAAAATAATCAAAGAGAGGTGGTAAAGAGTAGTAGTTGTAAGGTAGTGTTTATTGGTGTATAATGAAATATAAGTGGGGGGATTAAGTTGTGATAAAAGTTTTTATATTTTCAATTTAGAATTTGGTATTTAAGTAATTGTTGGTTTTGTAGTGAGTTAGGATGGTTTTGAAGGGGGGGGTTGAGGGGGGGGATTTTGGGTGGGTGTGGGGATGTGTAGTGGGTAAGTAGGGGTGTAGGGTTGGGGTTATATGGTGATTTTTATGAGTAGTTTTATAAGAGATGATGGTAGTAATGTGTGTTTGATATTTGTTGTGTTAAGTAAGAGATAATTTGGTGGTATTATTTGGGTGTATTATGGATTATAATGAAAGTGTGGGTTTTTTGTAATTTGGTTTTGTGTGAGTGTGGATGGTATGAAGGGGGGGGGGTGGGATGGGGGGGGTTTTGGGGTTGGGGTGGGGTGGTTTAGTGGGTGAATTATGGGTTGTAAGGGTTAGGGATTTATTTTGATGTTTTTATGAGTAGGTTAGGGGGTTTTTTTGTATTTGGAGTGTGTATTGAGGGTGTAAGGTAGAGGTTGTTTTTAGTTGGATGTTAGTTGATGGGTTTTGGGGAGATGGGGTGTTGATTAGGTTATTTTATTGGTTTGTGATTTTGTTTTTGAATGGGGGGGGTTGTTTATTATTTTAGTAGTGTAGATTGTTTGGGTGTGGGGTTGTTGTTGTTTTTAGGTGGGGTTGGTTGGGGGGGGGGGGGGGGGTTTTGGGGGTTATGTTGGGGGTTGTTGGGTGGGGGGGGGGGTTTGGGGGGTATGTTGGGGGTTGGTGGGGGGGGGGGGGGGGGGGGTTTTGGGGGTATGTTGGGGGTTGGGGTGTAGGGGGGGGGGGGGGGTTTTGGGGGGTATGTGGGGTTGGGTGGGGTTGGTGGGGGGGTTGAGGAGGGTTTGGTAGTGGGTTGGGTTATTGGTGATTGGGGTTTAGGGTGTGTGGTAAAGGTTTGAGGGTGAGAATGTTTTGTTTTAAGGGTAATTGGTAAAGTGGATAAGAGTAAGTAGGAGGGGGATTTAGGGGGTATGTGTTGAGAGTATGGTTAGTATTTTTTTGTAGTGGTAAATTATTGTGTTATAGTGTATAATTAATGAGGTAGTAGGGTTTGGTGTAGTTAATGGTAGGTAGTTTGGTTTTAGATAGTTTTTTGTGTTGTGTTTTGTGAGACTAGGTTAATTTGTGATTATGGTGTGGGGGATGTCGGTGAGGGAGTATGGTGGTTAATGGTGGTTTTTTATTAGTGAAAAATTTGGGTGGTGGGATTTTATAGAGGGGAAATGGTGTTGGGTGATATATATATATATATATATATAAATATATAAGTTGGGAGAGAGGGAATGTGGGAGGGGGATGGTAAGAGGGGGTAGTTTAGTTTTTTTATAAGTGTATTGTATTGTAGTGGGTGGAGGGGTGTGAAAGTTTGATATTAGGGTGGATGAGATGTGGTATGTTAATATTTAGTATGTATATTGATAAATTATTGTGAGTGTTGATGATGTGATTTATATGTTTGTAGTGTTTAATAGTATGGGGGGGTGTTGTTGTTTTGGTAAGGGAGATGAAATATGGAGGAGTGGGAGATGTAGGGGGGTTATTTAATGTAAGATATATTTGTTTTAGATGGGATTTTTTTTTGGGGGTGTTGGGGGAGAGGATAAGTGGTGGAGGGTGTGTGGAAGAAAATAAGAAGATTATGTGGAGAATTATAGGTTGGGGAAGTAGGGGGTTTGGAAGGGGATGGGAATGAAGTAAAAAATAGGATGATGGTGTTATAGTTATATATATATATAAGTTGGAGGGTTATGAAGAAAAGATGAGGATGAGTGTTTATAGATTAATTTAGGTGGAGGGTGTGTTTATTGGGATGAGTTTAAGGGTGATTGTTTGATGGGTGTATTTTAGGGTTGATGGGTAGGTGAAATATATATAATTAGGGGATTATGTTAGTTAGATGTATGTTTATTTTTAGAGTGGGTTTTTTTTTTGTGATGTTATAGGGGGATAATAGGGAGATTGTGTGAAGGAAGGGGAGGGGGGTGGGGGTGGGGGAAGGTTAAATAAGGTGGAAAAGTAGGAGATTAGTATAAAGGAGTGTAGTTTGAGTATAGGGGGGGGGGGGGTTTGGGGAGAGGAAAAATTAGGAAGGAGAGTTTAGTATGAGGGTGGGATTAATAGGTGGGTTATTATGTGTTGGGGGATGTTGGTTAAGGGGAAGGTGGAGGTGTTTGGGGAGGGGTTTAGAGGAGTTATGAGGACGATGTGTTTATGGAAGTTGATTGGGGGTGAGGTGAGGTGAGTTGAGAATGGGAAAGAGGGGGGAAAATGGGGGGAGGATGAAGGGGTTGGGGGGGTGTAATGAAGATGGGGAAAAGATAGGGGGTGGTGAATTGTGGAGGTTGGTGAGATAGAGGAGATGGAGAAGGGAGGGTTTTTGGGGGTTAGGGGGGAAGTTTGGGGTGGGGGTTTGGATGGGATAGTGGATGTTAGTTGGAAAGGGGTATTTGTGTTAGGTGGGATGGGGTGTGTTAGATTTTATAAGGAGGAAGTTTGTTGTAGTTTAATGGGATGGTTGTGGCTAGAGAGTAGTATTTAGATGAATAAAAGGTGAGGTGGTAGGATGATTGGGTGGGGTAAAGAGGATGTGTGAGGGTAAAGGTGAGGTAGAAATTAGAATTAGTTTGGAGAAAGGAGAAGTTTTTTTGTTAGTGTGTTTAAGGGGGTGGTTGAGAATGGATGAGTGAAGGTTTGAGGGGTTGGGTGGGTTTGGTGAAGGGGTTTTGATGAGATTTAGGGTATAATTTAGGTGGAGTAGTTTGGGGGGTTGTGTTGTGATGGAGTTATATGGGGTGTATGGTTTGGGTTAATGAGAGATTGGTAATGTAGGGGGGATTAATGGTGGGGTGTGAGATTGGGGTTTTTATTTGTGGAAGGTTGGTTTGGGGAGGTTATGAAAGGGATTTTGTTGGGGGTGGGGTGTTTGGTGGGGGGAAGTGTTTGTGGGGTTTGTATAGGGGTGTTAGATGGGGTGGAGGGTAATGTGGGGAAAGGAGGGGTGGAGGGAGAAGGGTATAGGGGGTATATTAGGGGATATGGAGGGGGTTGTGGGAATGGGATGATTATGAGTTGTTGATAATTTGGAATGTTGATGTATAGTTTTGGGGGAGTGAGGGAGGGGGATTTAGGGAGGTATGGTTAATATGATTTTTAAGGGGAGTAGGGGAGGGGATGGGGGAGAAGGGGGGTTGTGGAGGAGGATTGTAGAGGGGGGGAGGAGGAGAGGGAGGGGATATAAGGGTGGAGGGATGATGGGGGGAAGTGGGGGGGTAGATTTGGGATTTGTTTGTTGTTGAGGTTAGAGGTTGTAGGGGGGGGTATTTTAATGTTGATGGATGGGGGAATGTGTGGGGTGGATGGATGGTTTTGGTTTTGGGGGGGGGTGGTGGAGATGTGGGTGGTGGTAAAGGGTGTGATTTTAAGGTGAGGATTTATGATGGTTTTTTAGAGTTATAGAGGTTGGGTTGGGGGGGAATTAGATGTGTAGGAGGAGGGGATAGAATAATAGGTGGAGGAAGTGAGGGTGAGGGTTAGAAGGGTGAAGGATATGGGGGTTTAGGGGGTGTAGGGGTTAGGGGAAAGTGAGGGAATGGAGGGTTTAAAGAGGGGTAAGGGGATGATAGGGGTATTGGGGGAAAGGTTGTAATGGTGTTTTGGAATGGGGGGTAATATAGGAAATGAAATTAGAGTTTGTGTAGGGGAGATTAGGGTTTTAATTATGGGGTTAGAATTGGGGGGGGGAGGGGGTTTTGTGAATGGGGGGTGGGAAAAGAAGAGTTGTTTTGTGGGGGATGGGTGGATGTATTTGGTAATGTTAATAAGAGTTGAATAGGAGTGTTGGTTGGATAGGATTTTTGGGTGTTATTAGGGGGGAGTTTGGGAGGGGGAGGGTAGAATGGTTAATGGGTTATATAAGGAAATATGTGTGATGGGAGGTAGTATGGGTTTTATGGGGTGGGGAGGGTAGTTTTTTGGGGGAGAGGTTTGTGATTGGGGGATAGATAGTGGGTGGTGGGTGGGTTGTGGTGGGTTTGTGGAGTGGTTTGGGTGAGGGTGGTGGGGTGGTTTAGTTGGGGGGGGGGGTTGGTTGGTGGGTTATGGATGAAGGGGTTTGGTTGTATATATGGGGAAGATGAGTATGGGGTTTTGATGGGGGTTTTGGTGTTTTTTATTGTTTTTAATGAAGAAATTAGTATGGGGGGTTTGGTGGATGAGAGAGTGTAAAGGTATGATGAGAGAAGGGGGGGGGGTTGGGGAGTTAGGGTATAGGGAAAGGGGGATTTGTTTGGTAGTTATTGTATTGTTATTGTATTGGGGGGTAGTGTTAGGGAAGGGTGGTAGTGGGTGTGGGAATTTGGAGAAGGGGGATGTGTAGAATGTGTATAGGAATTTGTGTAGGGGAAGGGGTTTATTGATGAGAGAGATTGAAGGGGGAATAGAGATTGGATTGTGTTGTGGGAGTTGGGGGGGAGGTATGTGGAGTGGAGAGGTGTTATTAATTATTGGGTAAAAAATGAGGGAGGTGAGTATGTGGAGGAATGAGGTGGAGGAGTTGGGGGTTGGATATGATGGGGGGGTAGTTGTAGTGTATGGTGATGTGAAGAGATGAGGGGGGGAGGAGAGGGTATGTGTGGAGATGGGTGTGGGAGGGTGGGAGGGTTTAGAGTGGGGAAGGTTTTTTGTTGGGGGTTTGTTTGAGGGGGGGGGGGGGGGGGTATTTGATTTTGGAGTTGGGGGGGGGGATATATATTGTTAATGGAGTATGTGTGGTGGTTTGGGGGGGTTTGGTATGGGGGGTGGAGTGGGGGGGGGGTGGGATGGTAGAATATAAGATGGGAGGAGGGGGGGGGTGGTTATAATGGTTGGGTAGAATAGGGGTTTGGGTTGTTGTGAGGGGTTTGGTGGAAGTGGGGTATTTTTGGGTGTTTGAGTTGGGGGGTGGGGGGTATGGGGGGGTGGAGGAGGATGATGGTTGGGGGTGGGGGGGGTTTGGAGTTTGGGTTTGAGGGGAGTGGATTAGTGAGGTGTGGAATTTGAGTTTTTTATGTTTATTAGTGTGAGTTGTAGTGTGGTTGTTTAGTGGGTTGGATAAGATTAGATAGGTGGGTGTAGGTGTTGGGTTTATTGGGGATTGATTGGGGGGGTGGTGGGGTAGGAGTTATTTTGGGGAGGTGTGTAGTGAAAGGGAAAGTGGGGGTGTTGTGGGGGTTTTGTTGGAGGATGTGGGGGGATTTAAGGGTGATTTATGTGGATGGTTGTTTTGTTTTGGTATTTTGATTGGATGTTGTGAGGGAATGTTGTGAGGTATGGGTGGTTTTGGTTTGAATGTGGGAGTAGATTTGAGGGTATTGGATAATGGGGAGGAGGATTGGGTGGATGGGGGGTTGGAAAGGATGGGGGGGGTAATGTTGTGGTTTGGGTGGGGGGGTGATTGGATGATTGTGAGGGTGTGTGTGGTTAGTATGGTGTGTAGTTTGATATGAAGGGTGGAGGTATATGTGGGTGTTTAAGGGGGGTTTGTGTTGTGTGTGGTGGGTAAGGGAAGGGGTGTTGGGTTGTGTTAGGGTGAGTGATTTATAGTGGATGATTGGGTTGGTGGTAGAGTTAGATTTTTTAATTTATTTTGGAGAGTGGTGGGGGTGTTGGGGGGGTAATTGATAAGATAGTGGGGTGGTGGTTTATTTGTAAGGGAAATGGGTGTGGGAGGTAAGAAGGTTGGTAGGGTGATTTTGGGGTTGTGTGGTTGAATTGAGGAAGGGGGTTGGGAATTGAGTGAATTTTATATGTTGTAGAGGGTGGGTGTGGGTGTTGTGTGTGTGGTGGGGGTATATTGTATGGGGGGGGGGAGGGAAGGGTAGGGGTATTGAGGGGGGTGTAGAGGTTATGGAAGGGAAGGGGTTTGAAGGGAAAGGGGGTGGGGGGGTATTAGGGGGGGAGTGGAATTGGAGGTGTGTTGAGGGTATGTAGAGGGGGAAAAGTTAAAGGGTGGTAGGAGTGTGGGTTGGGGAGGAGGGGTGAAGATGGGGGAAAGGGGGAAAAATTTGGGGGGGTGGGTATTAGATTGGGGAGTGAGAGGATTTTTTGGTTTTTGGGTTTGAAAGTGTTGGATGGGTAGGTGGGGGGTTATTTATGAGTGATGGGGATTAGTATAGGAGGGGGAGGTTTTTGTGGGAATGGGGATGTGGGAGAGGTTAATTTGGGATGGTGGGGGGAGTGGGAGATAGGGTTAGGGTTTATGTTTGTTTGGTGTGGAGGAATAGTATAGATGGGTTTATATTTTGGGGGGAGAGGATGGGGTTTTGGTTGGGTTTGTAGGTGGTTGGGAGATGGGTAGTTTTTGGGGTGATGTTGGTTGTGGGGGTTGGGGAGAGGGGGGAAGGGGTTTGAATGTGGTTTGGTGTGGTTGGAGGGGGGGTTATTGTTAGGGAATGGGGAGGTTGGTTAAGTGGGAGTTGGTAGTGGAGGTGAATTTAGGTGAGTGAAAGGAATTGAATGGGTAGTGATAAGATTTTATGGTTGTTTGATTGAGTGGTGGGGGAATTGGGGGGTGGTTTTGTTTTAGATAGTGGGTGTTGTGAGATTAGGGGTTTTTATTGGTATATTGGGGGTTTGATTGGAGAGTGTGGGGGTTGAATGGTGGGGGATGGTTTGATTTGGTTTTATGGGGTGTTGAGTTGATTTTGGAAGGTGGGGTGATATGGAATTTATGGTGGGGATTTTTAGTGGAGGAAGTAATTTAAGTTTGTAGTGTTTGTGGTGTGTAGTATTTTTTGAAGGAGGGTTTAGATATTTTTGGAATGTTATGGGGATGATGGTAGGATTTGGAGAGTGTTTAATTAGGAGAGAGATATTTGATTATTCTATTTGGTTTATAGTGATAGAGTATGTGTGGTTATTGTGATAGGGGGTGTTGGTATGGGGGTATTATTATGGTGGGTGGTGTAAAGATAATGGATTGGGTTGGGTTATTGTGATGTTATTGATTAGGGGGTTTGTTAGGTTTGGGTGGGGGTGGGATGTTGAGGGTTTATGGAAGGTTTGATTGAAATGTGAAAGAGGAGGATAAGTGGTTTTAATATGAGGTGTAGTTTGTTGATGTGATAGGAATTAAAGATTGTGTATTTAGGTGGGTTTGGTAAAGTTGGGTAGTTGGTTGGTTGGTGGGGGGGTGTATTTGGTGGATGGAGAGTAGGGTAATGTGAAGAGGGTTGTTAGGAATTGATATTTGAAGGAGGGGTGTAATTTGAGTATGAGTATGGGTGTTTGGTAGGGTTTAGAATTATGTGATATGTGAGTTGGGATTGTGGTGGTTGATATGGGTAAATGGGATTAGGGAGTGTGTATTGGGTTTGGGGTATTGGGGTTGAGGGGTATGGGGGGTTATTGGTTGTGTGATAGTGTGATGGGGTGGTGGAAATGGGGAGGGTATAGATATGGGGGGGGGTGGGTGGGATTGTGGGAGGTTGAGATTTGGTTTTGGATTAAGGGTTATGTGAGATGTGTGGGGTGGGTATGTTATTGGGTGTATGAAATGGAGTTAGGGGGTTAGGGGGAGGGGGTGATTATTGTATATGAAATAGGTGGGTTGGGGTGTGGGTTGTTTTAAAGAAGGGAAAGGGGTGAATGATTATTGGATTGGTGTGGTGTGAGATGGTTTGGAAGGTTTTTGTTTTGAGGGTATGTTAGTAAGAGTGGGGTGGAAATGGTGAGGGGGGGGTTGGTGGTAGTGGGAGATGGTGGGTTGGGGGGTTGGGTGTTTTGGGTTTGGGTTGGGTGGGTGGTTGTGGAAGAGGAAAAAAGTGAGGGGGTGGGGTGGAAGATGTAGGGGGGGGGGGGTGGGTGTGGGGAGTGGGGGAGGTTGTTTGGGGAAGTTTTTATTTTATTTTTTGGGTGAAGGGTGGGTGGGGTTGAGGGGGAAGTGAGGGAGGGTGAGAGGGGAAGGAAATTAGGAATGGGAGGGAGGTGGGGAATGGAGAGTGTAGGGGGGTGTTGGTTGTAGTATATATGGTGGGGATGATTGTAGGAGTTTGTTGGGATGGGGGGAGGAGTTATTTTATAGGTATGGAGGAATAAAGAAGATTAGGGGATGATAGGAGATGGGGTGGAATTGAGATGGTGGAATAGTTATGGAGGGGAGGGAATTGGGGAGGTAGGGATTGGAAATTTGAATGAAATGTGTGGGAAGGGAGGGAGGAGGTGTATTTGTATATGGGGTGGGGTAGGGGTATGAATTGGGGTGTATAGAGAGGAGATTGAGGTGGAAAGGGTGGTTTATAGTGAGGGTAGGAGAAGATATTGGTTAGAAAGGGGTGGGGGGAAGGGGGGAGGGGTGGGGGGGTTGGTTAAGGTAGGAGATGGTTATGGTATGGTAGTATGATTGTAGGAGTAGGATTTGTTAAGTTGGTTTTGGTGGGGGGGGAGATGATGTAAGGTGTAGAGTGTAGTGTGGTTGGGAAGGGGATGTGAAGTTATAGTGTGTGTTAGGTGTTTAGGGATGGATGGGAGGGATAGGGAGGGAGGGGGGAAGGTTGAGGATAGAGGAGAGTTAGGGGAGGAATGGAAGAAGGGTAGGTTAGGGGGGATGGGGGGAAGATGTGTGGTTAATAGGTGTGGGAGGGGAGGGGGTGGAGGTTGTATGGTTGTTGTTAGTGGGGGGGAATTATTGTTATGGGAGGTTGGATATTATATATGTGGTTTTGGTAGGGTTGTTGTTGGGTGGAATGTTTAGATGTGTATTGGATGTGGGATGGGTGGGGAATGGGGGATGGTTTTAATATGGGGTTTTTAGGGGAGTGTAGTAAAAGGGTGATAATTATGTGTTTAGTATATAAAATTGAGGAGGGATAGAGAATGAGGGTAAGAAATGATATTTAATTTGTTTATGGGGAAGGAGGTATAAGGAGGGGGGGGTGGTTTAGGTGGAAAATAAAGATGAGGAAGATGGGGGAAGGGGATGAGGAAAAGGGGTTGGTATGAGGAAGAGTGAAGAGAATAAGGGGGGGGAGTGGGAATGAAAGATTAGGAATGGTTTAAATTAAAATGTTTAGAATATGTAATGGAGGGTAGGGTGGTTGAGGAAAAGTTGTTTATATAGGAGGATGTTTATGGAAAGGAGAAAAGATAAGAGAGTTGAGAGTGGTTTAGAAAGTTTTGTTGAGAGGTTTAAGTATTGGGGGATGGGGATGGTTTTGGGGATGGGGGGGGAAATTTTGGTTGAGGGGTTATTGGTTTATGTTGGTTGAATGATTTGGGAGGTATTGTGGATGGGAAGGAGGGTGGGGGGTAATTGGAGATGAAGGGGGGATGTATTATTGTGGGGGGGAGGGGGAATAAGAAAGATATATGTGTAAGGTTTATGTTAAATATGGTTTTGTTGTATTGTGATTTGGTTTGGGATGTGGGATAAGAAAAGATAATGTGAAAATTAATGGTGTTGAGGAATAGTAGGGTGTTTAATTGTGGGAGGATTAAGGAGGATAGGTGGACGATGGAGAGGGGTGAAGGAGGGTGTAGGTTTTTTAGGGTTGTTAGTTTGGTTTTTAGGGGTATTTGGGTGATGTTTGTTTGTTTATTTTTTTATAATGGAATGTATTAAAGAGGGGGTATGATGTTATGGTGAGATGTGGTGATATTTGAGTTATTGTGTTGTGTAGTGTTGTGGGTAGGGTATTGTTTGGTTTTGTATGTGAGGGAATGATTGGTGTTGGTAGGAGTATGGGGGAGTGGGTTGGTGTTGGGGAGTGGTGTTATGGGGGGGAGGGGAGGTGTTTAGTATTTTTGGGAAGATGGGGGGGAGTGGTTAAGGGGGGTGAGGGTGGGGAGGGGGATTTTGAGAAGATGGGGATTGGTTGTGTATTATTAATTATATGGTGAGAGATGTAGATGTAAGATGTTATGGGGTATTGTTTGAAAGGGGTGGATTATTTGTTGTGTAAGATGTAAATGGATGGGAAGGGTAGAGGGTTTTAGGGAATATTTTGTTGGTGTGGTGTGGGTTTTTGGTGGTGGGGTTTTATATGATGGAATAGGGTTAGTGGGGTTTGGAGATGAGTTGTGTGTTGGTTTTGTTTGGGTGGGGTGGGTGGGGGGGGGGGGTGGAAAGGGGAAAAAGTAGGGGTGGGGGGGTGGAAAGAGTAGGGGGGGGGTGGGGGGTGGTGGTGTGGGGGATGTTGTTAGGGGTGGGGGGGGTGGTGGGTGTGTTGATGGGGTAAGAGTATGGGAGGTAGGGGGGAGGGGTATTTTGGTTTATATGGTGGTAGGGGTGGGGTGGTAAATGTGTAGGTGATTGGCGGGGGTAAGAGGGTTAGGTGGGTGGTGAAGAGGAGGGGTGGTTTTGTGTAGATTTTTTTATTAATTGTTTATGTGTTTGAAGGTAATTTTGGAAGATATAATTGTGTTTGAAAATTGTTGTAGTGTGAATGATGGGAATTGAGGATTTGTGTGTAGGTTTAGGGGTGAATAATTTGGGGGTTGGGTGGGAAGTAATGGTTGGGGGTGATGGTGGGGGGGGTGGGGATGTAAATGATTGGGGAAGAGGGGTTTAGTGGTGGTATTGGGTGTGGGTTTGGAGGTGTTTTATGAGGGGTGTTTGTTTGGTAAGTAGGGGATGTGTTGGAGATGAATTGGTTTAATGGGTGGGGGTAATATTTGTGAATATATTGTGAGTTTGTGTTTTTTGGGTAAGGGAGGGGGGGGGGGAGGGGGTGGTAAAAGGAGGTAGAGGGGGTTGTGGGTGTATGGTATATATGTGGATGGGGGTAGGGGGGGGGTGTTGGTGTGTGGGGGGTTGTATGGGTGTAGGTAAGGGTTGGGTGGGGTTGGCAGAAGGAAATATTTAATGTTGTGGAGGATTAATGGATTTTGTTTTGTTTTGGGGGTGGGGGGTGATATGGTATGAGGTGGGTGGTGTTTTTGTAATGGGGGGAGGATGAATTGAGGGGGGATTTAGTATGGTAGATTGTAGGGAGGGGGTTGGGGTGTGTGTTGTTTGTGTGGGGGGAGGGGGAGGTTTTTTTTTGTTTGAATTGTTTTTTTGGGGGATTTTGAATGTGGATTGTTTGGTTGTGGGTTTTTATGAGGTATGTAGGGGGGGGGGAAGATGAGGTATGGGTGGTGATTGAATTTGGGGGGAAGTAAATGTTGAGGGGTAGTGAGTGATTGGGGGAAAGTTAGGGGAGGTAAATTAGGGGGGAGGAGGATGGGTTGGTTGGAGAGGTAAAGAGGGGGTGTGGGGTTGGTTAAAGTGGGGGGGGGTTAATGTTATTTATAAAGTTGAAGGTTTAGTTTAGAGGTTTTATTTAATGTAAGAGGGTGGGTTTGGGTGATTGGATTTAGGTAAAGGAGTGAGTTAGTAAAGTTAGATGGTGATGGGATATTAATGGAGGGGGTGGAGATGGGGGGGGAGGGGGATAAAAGAAAGTTAGATGTGGATTGGATAGGTAAAAAGGGGGGATAATTGGGTGGGAGGGGGGGGGTGTTGGAGGAGTGTGGAGATGGATTTTTTTGAGGGGGGGATAATTTTGTGTGGGGGGGGGTTGTGTGGGGGTTTGTTGAATGGGGGGTGGTATTTTTAAGGAGAGGTTATTGTGGTGGGGGTTGTGGGGGGGGGAAGAGATGAGTGGTAGTATGAAGTTTTTATTAGAAAGTTAGGGGGGTATTGGGATGGGTATGGAGTTGGTGGGTGGTGGGGGGGTGTAAGGATAGAATAGGGTGATGAAATGATGTATTGTGGAGGGGTATGGGAGTTGGGGGTGGAGGGTGAAGATGATGGGGAGGTGTAAGAGAAAGGAGTATGATTGATGTAAGGTGTGGGGGGTAGTGGGTGGTGATGTGGTGGGGGGGAGGTAATATAAATGTGGGTGTTTTGAGAATTAGAGAGGGAAGTGTTGGATGGAAAGGTAGTTTAGTAGGGTTTTTAGGAGTTGTGGTATGTGGGGGTGTAGGGTTGTGTAAGTATAGTTAGAGGAGGGGGGGGGGTGTTTATTGGGGGTGGGTGGGGTAGGGGGGGGGGGGATTTTGTATTGTTGGTAAGGGGGGGTTTTTTTGTGGGGTGGTTTGATTGGAGGTGTGGGGGGGTGTTTGGAGAGGAGGGGGGTATGTTGGTTTAAGTTTGGGGATTGGAAGTTTTGGGGGTATTATTGTGTGATGTGGTGATATTTTGTATTTGGTTGTTGGGGGGTAGGGGTGTAAGAGGAATTGTGGATGATGGTGTTGAATTTGTTATTAATTATGTAGGAATGTGGGGAGTGGGTTAGTGGGGGGGGGTGAGGGGGGGAATATGTATTGTTGGGTGGTTTGGAAAAAGTTATGTATTATGGAGGGGTTGTTTTAAGTGGGAGAAGAAGGATTTAGATAAGGGATTTAGTGGGATAAGAGATATAGGGGTGGGGTTGATTAATTTATTTTATTATTTAGTGGTATGTTGATTGTTTTGATAATGGGGGGTATAAGGGTGTTGGATAGTTTGGGTTGAGGGGTTAGGTTGATAAGTGGGGGTGGGAGAGGGGGGGTGGATAGGGGGGGAATGTTTGATAGGGGGGTGATGGGGGGTGGGGTGAGAGGGGTTGTTAAGTGTGATATTATTTGGTTATAGGGTTAATGTAGGGGTATGTGTGGAGATAGAATATAGTTTAAGTGATTGGGGGTAGGGGGGGATTAGTATATTTTTTTGGAAAGTTATGGGGAAGATGAAGTTAATAGGTGGGGAGTTTGTTTGTTTTTTTGATTAGGTGGGGTTATTGTGTTTGTATATTTATTTATATGGTTTAGATTTTTTAATGAGTGGGGATTTGGGAAATGGATTTTTTGTTTGTGAAAGTATTGGTATTGGATATGGTGTATTGGGGGTAGGTGATAGTTTGTGTTTGGGGTTTGTGAGGGGGGGATTTATGGATGGGGGTATGAGTTTGAGGTTGGGGAAGTGGGTTTGAGTTAGGAGGGAGGGGGAGGGGTGGAATGGTGGGGTAGAATAGGAAGGGAGGAGTATAAGGAGGTGGGGGAGAGTTTTTAAGGGGGGGGGGGGGAGAGGGTTTTGGATTTTGTGGAGAGGGGGGTTTTTAGGATTAATGTATTGTTATATGGGGGATTAGAATAATAGTTTTTTTTAAATGAGGGGGTGGGAGTTGATATGTTAATTGGTGAGATGTGTTTAGATAGATGGTATTGAGATTATTGTTGATGAAGGAAAGAGGGTAGGTTTGATTTTGGGGTTGGGGATGGAGGTGAATGATGTGTGAGTAGAGAGAGGGGAGAGGGGGTGAATGGAGATATGGAGTGGTGGAGATATAAAGGGGGGTATGTATGGGGGTTGGTTGTGGTAGGTGGATATTGGGGTATGATGGGTTTTTAGGAGGTTAGGGGGAAGGAGTATTGGTTTTTGTAACAGAAAGAATGTGAACAGATGATAGGTGGAAGGGGTAGAAGTGGGGTGTATGTGGGGTTGGATTTGTAGGTTGGTGATGGTGTGGGAGGGATATTGTTTTGATTTGGATTGTGGAGTATGGATTTGGGTGTTATGGGAGATGTGGTGGTGGGGGTATATGAATAAAAGTTGGTGGTATGTAATTAATGGGTGGTAGTTGGGGGGGATTTTTTGTAGGATAGGAATGGGTATGAATTGTGAGGGATAGTTTTAGGGGTTTTTGGGTATATATGTGGAAATTGTGGGAGATTAATGGTTAGTTTTTTTGATTTGATAATGGTGGGTTATGTGATTGTGAGTGTGGAGTTTTTTTAGAAGATGAAGTGTGTTGGGGTGTAGAGATAAGGGGTTAAGGGAGATGGGGGGGTTGTGGGGGATATGTGGTGATTTGTATGAGATTTGGAAGGGAGAGGGGTTGGGTGGGGTATGGAATAGGGTGTGGAGGAGATAGATAATATTATAGGGGTGAGAGTAGATTGATGAGAAGGTATATGAGGAAGATGTTGAAAGGAAATAGGAGGAAGAGGTGGTGGAGGTTTAAAGTGTTTTAAGTAAAAATGGGGAAAAGAGGTATAGGGTTTTGAATGGTTGTAGAGTATTGGAGAAGGGGGGGTTTGTTGGAGAAGTGGAATGTGAGAGGGGGGGGGGGAGAGGAGATGGAGGGGGGAGATAAGGGGGTGGGAGGGATATGGTGGAATTGTGGGTTGGGTAATGATTTGGGATTTTTTTGGTTGAGGATGAGGTTGGGTGGGAGTGGTAGATGGTGGGAGGTGGATGGGTTAGGGGTTGGGGGGTTGTTTTGTTATGGAGGGGGGTTTATTTGGTTGTTTTTGTGTATGGATGAATTTTTATGATTTGATTGTTTGTGGGGTTTGTGAGTGGATTTATGTTATTGGGTTTTGGTATGGTGTTGGGTTATGTATTGTTTTGAGTAGAGGGATGTGGATGTTATTAGTATGGTTATGGATTTTTTTGGGAGGGATATGGGGGTTGGGTGTTAGTGGGGTTGTGGATTATGTTAGAGTAGAGTTTGGAAAGAAGAGGTATATGAGAGGGAATGGTGAAATTTAGTAGGGGAAGGAGGGGATGGGGTTGAGAGTTGATAGATGAGAAGGAGGAAAGAGAATGGGAAAGGAAGAAGAGAAGGAGGAGGAATTTTATATATATAGGTATTGATATGAGGTAGGAAGGGGAGGTTTGGATTAGGTTTGAGTGTGGTGTAGATAGAGATAGGTTGAGAGGAGAAGAGAGTGTTTATAGTAGGGTATAGGAGATTTTATGGGGGGGGGTTTGGATGTATGGTAAGAAAATTTGTGGGATAGGAAAGGGGGATTGGAAAGGGTAAAATTGGGAATGGAATGAAAGGGAGAGGGTTGAGGGTGAGGTAGTATTTGGAGTTGTGGATATGTAGTGGGAGGGGAAGTTGGGGGGGTGGTTGTAGGAAATGGAAAGGTGTGTTGATGGAGGGAGGATTTGTAGGGGGTAGTTGTTGTAGTTTATAGGTGTGTGTTGGTTTTGATGTTAAAATGGAAGGGGATTGGATTGAAGAGGAGAATATAAGAGTTAAAAAGGAAAAATAGTTATGATGGAGTAATGGGGGGGGGTTGTTTAGTGTGTTGTTATTTGTTATGTGTAGTTATTTTATTGGTGTGTAGATTTGTTAATTGAGTGGGATGTGATGAAAATGATTGTTTGTTTGGAGTATGGTATTGGGTTTGGTTTTTATTGGTTAGGAGATGTGATTTGGTTTTATTTTGTTTAGGGTTTGATTTTTTGTGAGGGAGGTATGTGGGTGGTGTGAGGTTGTTGGGTTTTGAGTTTGTGTTAGGGTTGGGGGGGGGGGGGTGGTTTATGGGTTTGGTGGGGGGTGGGAAAGAGAATAGGTAGTATGGGGTGGTTTGGGGGGATTATTGTAATATGGTTATTATGGGGATGATGGGGTGGAGTTGGGAATGGTTGTATTTGTGTGGTTGTGGATATGGGGTTGGGATGGGGGTGTGGTTGATTAGTGGGTATGATGTAATTTTAGGGGTGGGGTTATATTGGGGATTTGTTTGTTAGTGGTAGATGGAGGATTGGGGTATTTTTGGGATTGTGGATAGGGGTATATGGGTTGGGGAGTGGTGTTTGGGGGAAATAGGGGGTTTGGGGGTGGGATATGAGGGTTTGGTGGAGAGGGGTAGGGTGGTGTTGTATGTAAGGGGTGTTTGGGTGTTGGGGAAGGGGGTGTTTTTGTTGGGTGGTGGGTGGGGGATTTGTGAGGTTTTTGGTGAGGGGTTTTGATGATGTTGTTGGGGGAGTTTATTGATGGTTTGGTGGTGGTATGGTGGGGGATGGGTTTATTAGGAGGGGTGAGGTGGGGGGTTGGGTGTGGGTTGTTATGGTGTTGGTTGAGGGGGGGGGTGATGGGTTATTAGGGGGTGGGAGTATGTAGGGTTGTGGAGATAGAGATAGTTTGGGGTTTGGGGTGAGTATTTGAGTTGGTGTGTTTTGGGGTAATGATAGAAATGGTTGAGATATTTTTTTGGGGGGGATTTAATGAAAGTGTTTTTTGTGTAGGGAGTTATATATGTGAGAGTGGAATTTGTGGGGGTGGTTGTGTGTTTGGGTGGGGTTTGTGATGGGGAATTTAGGGATGTTAAGGTAGTGGGTTGGGGGTGTGGGGTTAGTATGGGGTGAGTGAGATTTTTGATATTTATTTTGGTTGGGGGTTGGAAGAATTGGGGGGGGTTTTGTAGGGGGGGGGGTTGGTGTAATGTTTTGGGGGTGGTGTTGTTGAGGGGGTTTATGGTGATTTATGTATTGAGGGGTGGATTTTAGTGTATGGGTGGGTTAAGGGGGATGTGGGGGGGTATTGGGGTTGAGAGATATGTGGGGGTGGGGGTGGGAATGTTTTTGTGGTTTTGTTGTGATGGGAATGTATTTTTGGGTTGGTGGGGTTATGGGGGGGGGGGGGGGTATTGGTTTTGGATTGGTGTATTTGGTGTGGGATGTTGACAGAAGAGGTGTATATTGGGAAGGATTTTTGGGTATTGGAGAGGGGTTAAATGGTAGATTTGATTGGATGTGAAGTATTTAGGAATGAGTATGGTTATGAGGAAAGGAGGTATATGGGGGTGTTGGGATAGAAGTTGTGGGTTAGGATGGGGATTATATAAAGTATGTGTTGTTATGTGGGGGGGGGGTATTGTGGGTTTGGGGTTGTTGTGATATGGGGTGGGTGGGGGTTGGGGTTTAGGGGGTGGGAAATTGTTTGTTGGTTTGGGGGGTGTGTTTTTTGTTAGTTAATGGGTTAGTGTGGTTTTTTTAAGATGGGAGGGAGGATAGGTAGATGAAGGTTGGAGGGTGAATTTGTAGATTGGAAGAGTGGTTGGGGTATTGGGGTTGGTGTTGTGAGTGATTGGGTGGGGATTTTTGTTTATGGGGGGGGTATATGGGAATAAATGGAAGTGTAAAAGATGGATAGAGTTTGATTGATGGATGTAATGGGGGATGGATAATGGTAGGGTTTGTGAAGTGTTGGATTGGGGTAATGTGATATTTTTGGGGGATAATTTAAGTTTTTTGAATGGGAGGTTATTTTGATGGGAAGAGGTGATATTGAAGGGGTTTTGGAATTGGTTTGTAATTTAGGGAGGGGATTATGTGAGAGTTTGAGTTATGTGATGTGGTATTGGAGGTGGGTGGTGGGTGGTGAGGGAGTTATTTGAAGTGGGATGGATGAGTGGTTTGGGAGTTTAAGGATGGTTGGAGGGATGATTTGTATGGATTGGTGGGGTGTTGATGATATGTGGTGGGGTGGGGGGGATAATTGGTGAATTGTTGTGTGTTGAGGGGGGGGGGGGGGTGGTGTGTTGTTGGAAGGAGGATGTGGGGGTGGGTTTGTGGTAATGGGTTGTGTATGGAGTTTTTGGATAGGGTATGATGAAGAGAGTTGTGAGGGAATTTGGGGGTGTTTTAGAGGGAGATTAATGAATAAAGGGGTTGGGATGAGTAGGGTGGGAAGAGTGAGATTGAAAGGAAGGTTGGAGATTTGAATTGTTGTTGAAGGGGGTTTTAAGATGGATGGTTTTTTGGTAGTATTGATTGTTGGTTTTGGTGTGGGGTTTTGGGGGGTGGTTTTTGTGGGGTGGGATGATGGGTTGATAGGGTTTGAGGAAGGTAGTATATGGTGAGGTGGGGGTGGGAGGGAGGTTAGGTGTGGGGGAGATTGGGGGTTTTTTGTTTGTTTGGGAGGGGATAAAAGGAGTTAATGGAGAGAGGGTGATGTGTTGATAAGGGGGGGAGGGGGAATTGGTGTTAGATGAATTGGAAGGTGGGATTAGGGGGTTGAGAGATGTGATTATGATGGGTGGGTGGGGATGGAGATGGTGGGTGGTTGAGATGTTGGTAGATGGGGGGAGGAGGGGGAGAGGAGTTGTGTGGGGATGATTGAGGGATTTTGAGGGTTAGGGTTTGGGTTAATAGAAAATGGGTAGGTAGGTTGGTAGGATGAATTGTGGAATAAGAATTTTGGTGTGGATTAGGGGGGGGATTTTGTGTTGTTGGGGTTTTGGTAGTGGTGTGTGGGGATTTGGGTTATGGAAGGGGGAAGAATTTTTATAGTTTTAAGGATGTGGGGTTGGAAATGTAGTTTATGTTTTGTGTTAAAATAGTAGGGGAAGTTTGGGATATGAAGAAGAGGTTTGTGGGAGAGGGGGGTTTTTATTTATTGTTAAGGGAGAGGGTATTTTTGTTTTTATAAGGAGGGGTTATGGTGGGGGGGTTGGAAAAAGTGAGGTTTTTGGTATTGGTTGTGTGAAGTGGTTGTGTGGGTTGAGGATTGTTTATTTTGTGGAGATGTTGGTGTTGGGAGTGGTTGGTGGATTTTATTGTTGGGGATGGTTAGATATGTATTTTGGGAGTTGGGGTGTTTATTGTGGGGGGGGTAATAGGGGGGGGGGGTTGTATTAGGATTGTTTAAGGGATGGGTTTATAAAGGTGTTTGAGGTAGATGGAGTTGGTATGGAATATAGGAGAGAGGAGTGAGGTGGTTAGGTTTTGAAGAGGTTGGGGTGTGGTAGAGTAGGATTATTAGTTGAGAGTAAAGGGATTGTTGGATTGAAAGGTAAGGGAGAGGATTTTTGGGGTGGGGGGGTGGGTGGGGTGGGTAGGTGGGTGATGTAGGGGGTTTGGGGTTGAGGGTTATATTTTGGTTTGATGGGTAATGGGTGGATTGGTGTTGGGAATAAAGGTGAAAGGGATGAGGGGGGTGGGATGGGTTGGGGTGGTATTGGGTTGGGTGTTGGGGGTTGGGGGAGGTTTGGGTAGGGAGGGTTTGTTTTGGGATATTTTATTGGTTGGGGTTGTTATGGTTTGTTTGAGAAAATTAGAGTAGTGTTTGGGATAGTTAGAGATATAGTTAAGAGATTGAGGGAGGGGATAGGGAGGGGATGTGATTGGTTGGTGAGAATTGTTTTGGGGGGTTTGTGGTATAATTGGTGAGAGGGGGGGATGGGAATAGGGTAGTTGGGGTAGATTTTTTGTATTGGGTGATTTTGGGGGGGAGTATGGGGGGGGGGTTAGGGATGGAGGAGAGTGTTGGGGTGAGGGTGGGGGGAGGGATGGGGGGAGGATAGATTGGTTTATGTGGGGGAGGTTGGTGGGATAGTTATAATGGGTGTTGGGGTTTATGGATTTATTTATGGGGTGTTTTGGGGGGGGGGGATTTGGGGTTTTTGGATGTGGGTGTGTGTGGGGTATGGTGGGGTAATAAGGGTAGGAGTTGAAGGGTAGGTTGGGATAAAGTGGGTATGGGTAGAGTATGGGAAATGTGGGGGGGGGTATGAAGGTGTAATAGAGTGTATATGGTGTAAATGGTTATATGGTGTATTTTGGGTATGGTGATGGGGGATGTGTATTGAGGTAGAATATGGGGGGTGGTAAAAAGTTAGTTGAGGTTGGGGGGGGAATTTGGTTTAGGTTGTGGGGGGGGTAGTGGGAGGGTAATTGGGGGGTTGTGATGGGGGGTGTAATGGGATAGAAGTTTGTGTGTTGTATGATTTTTGGGGTTGGGTAGAATGGTTGTTTTTGTGAGGTATAGGGTGTGAGGTAAGAGGGGGGTTTTTTTTTGGATTGATGTGGATTTGGTGGGGAATGGGGATGGTTTTAATATGTGGTTTTTAGGGATTGTAGTAAAGAGGTGGGATAATGTATGTGTTGAAGTATATATAATGTAGAGGGAAGTACGAGAATGAGGGAGGAGAATGGAGTTTATGGGCTTAGGGGGGGGAGGGGGGGTTGGGATGTATGGGGGGGTATATGAATGATATGTATGGGGAGGTGGTGGTGGGTAAGGGGAGGTGGTGGTTGGGGAGATTGGGAAAGAGGTAAATGAAGGGGTTAAGGGAATATGGGGTAGGTGAAGTGAATATGAGGGATAGTAGAGGGATTTGAAATTTATGTAGGGAGAGAGGGAGGAGAATGAGGGAGAAGATTTAATGGTTGGATATTGGAATAAGGAGGGGGTAAGGATGGGGATGATTGAGAGGAAGGAAGTAGAGGGGGGATAAGGGGTAGATAGATAAGAAGGGGGGTTATGGTGGGGTTGGGATGAGGGGGGGATAGGTTTGGGAAGAATATGGGGGTGAAAGTGAGGAGAGATTTAGGGAGGTGATAGATGGGGGGGGGATTGGGAAATAGGTGGGGATTGGGAGTAGGGATAGATGGTTATGGAGGATGTGAGTGGAAGGGAGAGAGAAGATATGGGGGTGAGAGGGGTGGAGGGTGTGTAGGTGAAGGGGTGGAGGGTGGGTTAGAAGGGAAATGATGTGAGGATGTAGGGGATTGATGGTGAGGTTGAAGAAGGGTTTGGGGTGATAGCGTGTATAGCGGTACTCCAGCTTGATATGGGTTATTATGAGTGTTGATGTTGGTGGGGGGTAGTATATTTATATGATAATAAAGGTTATTTGTAATAAAGGGACTGTGTTCTGTATAGGAATGATTTAAAATAAATGTTATGAATATGTTTATATTTTTGATAAGTAACGGTGACGGAGTAGAGTAGAGATTAAGTGAAGAATTATGGGAGAATAAAATGTGAGGGACAATGTAGGAGGGATTATAATTGAAATGGTTGAAGAATTAGGGGGGAAACAAGAGGGAATGTGAGGTTGTATAAGTTTTGATATTCCTTGTGTAGGAAAATGGTATAATGAGATCGATGCGAAGTCGTTTTCCAAGCAATAGAAGATACGACAGGGGCCTTTTTGCAAAGTTCTCAGTGGTTAAAAAAAAAATAATAAGAGTTGAAAATAGTTGGAGTTATAGCGAATGGGGGAATGGAGGGGATGATGATAATGTAAAAAAAATATAACGAATAGATGTGTATTAAGGGGTTGTGTGAAAGTGGGAAAAGGTGGTACGGAAACCTTTTAGCAAAAGTATATGTAGGAGATAGGGTGATTTGGGGGTTATTGTGTGTAGGCATAATTGGGGGTTGTTGTGGGTGTGGGTGTGGTATGTGGAGAGTATGGTGAAAAGGGGGTGTTGATTTTGGTAAGGAAGGATTGTTGGAAGATTGGGTTTGGATGGGGTTATAGGGTTGATTTGAAAAGGGTTTGTTTATTTAGAATAAGTTAGGATGAAGTGTTTAGAGTATAAGCTGCTGGGGAGGACAGGTTTAAAGACATTGAGGTGGGGGTTGTGATTGTGTATCATGAGGTAGTGGGGGGTAGGATGGATCTGCACCGCGGACTATAAAAGAGAACATACAGGGAGGCGTATGCTGGTGGAAAGGAGTGGGTGACTATAAATGAATCAGTGAGTGATGATGATCCCGGGAGATTTAAGTGTTGTGGGATGTGGTGGTGGAAGGGAGGTGGAAGGATGGTTTGTAAACATTTTTGATTATAGTGTTGTATGGGTGGTTGTGAAAGGAAATATTTTTAATTTGGATAATTATGGAGGGTATTTAGTATTTATGTGTTTGGATAGTGATGATTATAAGAGAGGGGGTGGGTGAGGGGATGGTGGGGGGGGGTATTGTAAGATGGATGAATAAAGTGTGATTTAGGGATTTATAAAGTATTAATAGTATGGGATTGTATGGTGTTGTTTGATTTTTATGGAAATATAGGGAATGCTACAGTTCTATGTTTGTGAGTATATGTGGGGGGGGGGGGGGGGGGGGGGGGGGGGGGGTGTGTTAGTGATGGGGGGAAATGTGGGGGGATAGTTTTATTGTGGGGGTGAGGTGTGTGTGAATAAGGGTTTAAAGTTAGTGAAGGATATTAGATAAGGTGTATTTGGGGGAGGGGGTGTTTTTTATATGTGAAGGGGTGGAGAGGGGGTGATGAGGTTGGTTGGAGGGTGTAGAAGTTAAAGTGGATGTAGGGGGTGTAAGAGTGTTTTTTTTATGGTTATTTTGGGGGATTTTTGGTTAAAGTGTTGTATGTTGTGGGTATATGGGGGTTTATGTGGTGGGTGTTGGGTTTAGTGGGGAAGGGTATGGGGGGGAGGGGGGTAGGGGTGGTGATTTGGTGGGTTTGAGGTATGAGATATGTGTGTATTGTGGTGTAGGGGTAATGTATGTGGATGAGTTTGTAGGTTGTTTATAAATGTTGTATGTAAGGTTTATGGTGGTATTATGGGGTAAATTTTATATTTAATGTTGGTTATGGTGGTATTATGGGGTTAATTTTATATTAATTGTTGGGTTTATGGTGGTATTATTGGGTAAGTTTATATTAATGGGGGTTTATGGTGGGGTATTATGGGTAATTTTATATTTAATGTTTGGTTTTTGAATTGGGGAGGTGGTGGGTATATAGAGATGTGTGTGGGTGGTGTGGTGGGGGGGGGGGGGGAGTTTTATGGGGGGGGTGGGGGGAGAGGGTGGGAGGGGGGTTGGGGTGGAAGGAATAGGGGTGTAATGGAGAATGGTTGGGTGGGAGGTTGTGTGGGGGGGTGGTGTGGGTGGGATGGGTAGGTATGTGGGGTTGAGAGGGGAGGGGGGGGAATTTGGAGAGGTGTGGGGGAGAGTTGGGGGGGGATTGGGTATGTGTATTGGGTGGTGTTGTGGTGTTGAATAGTGTTATGTGTTGGGGTTATAATGATAGATTTTATGTGGGGGGTGGTTGAGAGTGTGTGGGAAGGAGGGGAGTGGGGGTTAGTGTGGAGGGGGTTTAGGGGGAGAATTTGGGGGTATTATGTGGGGTGTGGAGGTGTTGATGGGGTGGTGAGTTGGGGATGGTTGTGAGGTTGAGGGGGGGGAGGTGTGGGGGAGGGAGTTGGGGGGGATTTGGTAAGGTGTATTGGGTGGTGATTGTGGTTTTGAATAGTTTTATGTATTGGGGTTATAATTGATAGATTTTTATGGTGGGTTTGGTTTGAGAGTGTGTGGGGAAGGAGGGAGGGGTGATATTGTGGATGGGGTTAGAGGTGTGATTACTATTGGTGTAATATTTAGGGGAGGTAGTCAATTAATGGTATGTTATTAGTATGCAGATATATTATTAATATAGGTGGTGGTGGTAAAGTGTAGTGTGGTAAGGTTGTTTTTGTATTGGTTTTGTAGTAAGTAATAAGTGGGGGGATTATGGGGGTGTATTAGGGTTTAATATGAATTGTGGTTTTTGTATGTAGTTTTTGTTAGAGTGGATGGTATGAAGGGTGGTGTGTGGTGAGGGGGGGGGTTTTTTTGGGGTGGTGAGAGGGGTTGTGAATGGGTAGAAGTATGTGGTTTTGTAGGTTATAATGGTTATAATGGTATGTTTTATAGATAGAATTAATAAGATATGATGGTAGTAAAGGTAGTTGTATAGGTGGTGTTTAAGTAAAGAATAAAAGTGGGGGGATTATGGGGGTGTAATAGGGGTTATATGGGAGAGTGGGGTTTTTGTAATTTGGTTTTGTGAGTTGGATGTTTGGAAGGGGGGGTGGGAGGGGGGGTTTTTTTTTGGGGTGGGGTGTGGGGTGGTTAGTGGGGAAGTATGGGGTGTAGGTTTTGGGATTTATGGTGATTTTTATGAGTAGTTTAGGGTTTTTTTTGTATTGAGTTTTTGAGGGTTGGTAGGTATGAGGTTGTTTTTAGTGTTGGATGTTATTTTGGATGGGTTTTTGGGGGAGATGGTTGGGTGATTAGGTATTTGTATGTTTTGGATTTTGTTTTTGATGGGGGGGTTGTTATTATATAGTAGTGTGAGATTGTTTGTGGTGTGGGTATTGGTTGTTTTGAGGGTGGGGTTGGTTGGGGGGGGGGGGGGGGGGTTTTGGGGGGTATGTTGGGTTGGTGGGGGGGGGGGGGGGGGGGGGTTTTGGGTGGTATGTAGGTGGGTTGTTTGGGGTGGGGTGGGGTTTTTGGGGTATTTTGGGGTGGATGTAGGGGGGGGGGGGGGGGTTTGGGGGTTATGATGTGGTTGGGTGGTTTTTTGGGGGGGGTAGAAGTAGGTTTGATGTAGTGGGTTGGGTTTAATGGTGAATGTGGTGTGAGGTTTGTGGGTAGAAGTTTTTTATTTGGGTGAGAATGTTTTGTTTTATAGGGTAATTGTAAAGTGTGAATATGAGTAAGTAGATGTTGATTAGGGGTATGTGTGGTGATGGGGAGGTGGGGTGGGTGGGAATTGGGTTTGGGTGTGTCGTTAGTATAAGGTGGTTGTGGGGGTGGTGTGTTAGAGGTTGGTAGTGGTGTTTTAAAAAAAAGTAGTTTTATTGGTGGGGGGGGGGGGAGAATAGTTAAGTGGATGATGGGGTGGGGATGTTAGGTGAGGGATGTATGGGGGAAATGGGGTTTGTTATTAGTGAAAAAGTGGGGGGGTGGGGATTATAGAGGGGAATATGTGTTGGGTGATATATAATATATATATATATATATATATATAAGTTGGGGAGAGAGGAAGATGTGGAAGGGGGATGGTAAGAGGGGGGTATGTTTTTTTTTTCTTATAAGTGTATTGTATTTTATGTTGGTGGAGGGTGTGAAAGTTTGATATTATGGTGGATGAGATGTGTTAGGTAATTTTTAGTAGGTTTTGATAATTATATGGTGTGTTTTGATATGGGTTTTATATGTTTGTATGTTAATAGTAGGGGTGTGTTGTGGTTCTTGGTAAGGAGATGATAATTTTGGAAGGATGGGGAGATTGTTAGGGTTATTTAATGATGATTGATGATTGTTTTTTATATTAGGTAATTAAATAATGTGTTGGTTTTGGGTGAGGGAGGAAGAGAGGGAGGAAGGTTGTGGAAGAAATCAGAATGAATATTGTTTAAGAAGCTAATGGTTTGTTAGATAAAGTGTGAGTGGGAAGGGGCAGGTCAAATAGTATAACAATGAATATGGATTTCAACGATAACAAAACAATATAAGTTGGGGAGGGTTATGTCAAAAAAGGAATAGGTGAGTAGGTTATAGGATTAAGTTAGGGAGGGTGTTTTTTATGGGATAGGTTTTTAAGGGTGAATTGATTGATAGGGTGTATTATGGGTTGCATTTAATTTGATCAAATATGTATATTGGTTTAATGTTAAGTACTATGGTATGTTTATTTTAGAGGTGGTTTATTAATATTTGGAAGTAAATAATGTTATAATAGGGAATTGAGAAGGAGAGGGAAGGGGAGTGTTTTAGGGGATGGTAATAAGGGGAATAATATTGAATATGTATTAAAAGGAGTGTAATAGTTGCGTGTGTGGGTTTTAAAGTTTCTCTGCCCCCTACTGGCCGGGCGCTAGAACTACATCGTTTTTCAACCTCGTATGTACACTGAGAAATTTGCATAAGGAACCTGGTCGTTTCTGATAATTGCTTGGAAACGTCTGCGCAGCGTCTCAGTATAAACAGGGCCTAATAAAGGTTTATCTTATCTTATCTTAAGCTCCAGGCCCGCGTGTGTCCCCAGTTTGGCTGCATCCTGGGAATGGTGTTGACCAGCCGTCATGGCCCCTCACTGGGGAGGATCCAAGATGGCGGAATGAGCGCACGCTTCGCAGGCTCCGGTCTTTAAAAAGTTTTACTTTGTCCTGAAATGTGAGTTTTAGGCATTTCACTAGTCAGAACTAAGTCCCGTGTGGACAAAGATAACTGTAGGTCAGTTTATAGACGCTAAACATCCTTCTGCATAAAGAAGAAGAAACCATGTGCATGATGGAGGACCGCGACTACACGCTAGCCACCCCTTTATCGGAGGATTCAGCTATTGAGTTTGACCCGTCTGCAGATATGCTGGACCCGGAGCTTACTCACACGCCAACAAAGGCTCCCGTCTCTAAAAAGAAGAAACGAGATAAACCTTGTGAGGAGAGCGCCATGGAATCGATCCTGAAAGCTGTTAATGAGGTGAAAGTAGCCTTGGAAAATCAGTCGGGCAAACTTGACACCCAAACTGAGTTGCTACGAAAGTTTGAAGAGAAGATCGAGGCTAACACATTGGAGACATTAAAGTGAACCAGGCTGCAATTACCATACTGCAACAGGAGGTGAGTGAGCTCAAAGGTGAAAACAAGAGTCTGAAGGAAGAGATTGCTGAACATGCCCGGTACAAAAGAAGGTGGAATTTGAGAATTAATGGTTTGCCGGAGAAAGATGGAGAAGACACGAGAGAACGTCTGATTGGGATTCTGACCAGAGTCGTGCCCCTGCCTGTGGATCGGCTCCGTGACACTGTGGACACGGTTCACAGGCTGGGTAAGAGGGCCATTGCAGCAACATCTAATAATCAGCCACGGTCCATAATCATACGAAAAATGTTGCTGACTGGCTGTGTCAAAACTGTCTGACATTAAACACAGACAAAACCGTTTCAATGTTTCGCATGGCGCCGTAAAGATGGCGCCGTGGCAAGAGCTCTGGTGTGTGTCGTCTTCTCTGTCTGGTGCACACCGGGGTAGTCTTGCACAGTTTTTCCTATGTGGTTTTACTGCAAATGGCAAATAAATGAATCTGAATCTGAATCTGTATTTTACAAACCGAGGTAAGCATATCAGTTGTCCAGATATTTTTATTCATGGCAGTAAAATTAAAATTTTTGATGTATTCTCATATTTAGGAGTGACCCTGGATCAAAACCTGATCTTCAAACATCATGTAAAGAAACTCCGTAACACTCTTAAGTTTAATTTGGCCAACTTCAGATACGTTCGGGGGTCACTCACCACTGAGGCGTCCGATCTGTATCTGAACTCCATGATCCTGTCACATTTTGTATACTGTGTATACTGTGTATACTGTGTCTCGAGCTGGTCTCAGGGCTGTAAAACCACTCTGGGACCTGTCGAGTCACTGTACAAGTGTGCCCTTAAGATCCATGATAAGAAGTCCAGGTGGTACCATCACTGTCCCATCCTCTCTAAATATGACTTTCTCAACTTTGAAAACCCAACATTTTACTCCAATGTTTGTTTGCTGTTTAAAATTATCCATGGTGTTAGTGCACCTCCTCTAAGAAAATATGTTTCATTGAGTGCAGACAAAATGACCAGAACCACTCGATCCACTTCTAGAGAAGAATGCAGCGTCAAAAAATGTAGAACAACTTTTGCTAAATTTGCTTTTTCTGTGACGGCCATGAGTCAGTGGAACACACTGCCCACAGAGATCATTGCGTGTACTACATTTAAAACATTTTATTGGCTGACTAAGAAATGGCTTCTGAAAAAGCAAGTTTGCACGCACGAGTGAGTGAGTGAGTGAGTGAGTGAGTGAAATATTCTAGTAGAAGTTGGGGAGCTTTATTTATTGTTATTAAACTTAATGTTTTGTGAATTATGTTATTTAAAGCCTGTAAATGTAAGACACAGTCATGTATCCATCTACATTGTAATCAGTTTAAATGAACATAACACCAGCCTGCCCAGGGACTACAGGTGGAAATTAGCATCTCTGCTATAACCTGGTACATGCATCTCTCCTTTTGTGTTAATGCTTAACTGTACACTGTCCCTGTTCAAATAAAGTACATACAATACAATACAATACAATTTGTGACGAGAACGGTCCGGGATGACGTATGGAAGAGGTCCAGAGATTCTCCGGTGTGCAGAGAGCTCCATATACACTTCAAAGAGGACTTTTCCGTGAAGACAGAGCAGCGCGCGCCAAGCTGTGGCCACTCGTCCAGGATGCAAGGAGAAGAGGGCATAGGGTGTTTCTGAAAGAGGGCTATGCGCTGATTAACAACCAACAAGTGGACCCACCATAATGGTCTGAGCTACAGATTCGCCATTCTTAGTCTGCTAGTGTTAATGCACTTCATTGTTTTGACTAAGGACTAGACATTCTCATTCCTGCGCATCTTTTGTTCTTGCGCTTTACATATATTCTCAGGTATATTTTCTTGTATTTCTTTAAACGCTAGGGGGCTTAAAAATAATGTTAAAAGAAAGGCTGTTTTTTTGTTTTGTAAAGAGCAAAAGGCTAATTGTGTGTTTTTACACACAGAGAAACTCATTCTACAGAGGAGGATGTGAAATTTTGGAAAGTACAGTGGGGTGATACTATTTTTGTTAGTCATGGGACTTCACACTCTGCAGATGTTCTTCGTGTTTTTGGAGGAACAACCAGGAATGTACTCCACTTGGAAATTTAATAATAGTCTTTTAAATTATTCCTATTTTGACAAAAAAGTTAGAAATCTAATTTTGGAGGTGGACATTTTGGATGCGTCTTCAGTCAGTAAATGGGGAGTGGTTTAAATTTAAAGTTAAAGCTTTTGCGATTCAGACTAGCAAATATATTCAGAAGCGAAAAAGACAGAAACAACTAGAGCTAATTACTGAGATTAATAAACTATGTGAATGCACTCAACTCACTGATGTTGATACTGAGAGATTAAACAAGTTGCAATCGGAATTGGATGAGTTATACTTGGACAAAGCAAAAGGTGCTTATATACGATCCCGTGCCCGATGGTTAGAAGAGGGTGAAAAGAATTCTTCATATTTTTTCAACCTTGAGAAACATAGGCAGTTAAGAAAGAAAATTACAAAATCAAGCATTAATGGGTCTGTCCAGGAAGATCTTACAGTGATTAAAGATGAAATCCATATTTTCTACTCAAATCTTTACAAGTCTCAGTTTTCTTCTTCAGATTGTAGTACATTTTTTAATGCCCTGCAGGTTTTTAACCAGAATATTAATTTGGATTTTGAGCAATTCATGGACAAGGATCTTGAGATAGAGGAACTACAGTAGATCGAAATCACAGGGCCTGGATGGTCTGACGACAGAGTTTTATAAACATTTTTGGAAAGATATTAGAGAGATGATGTACCGTGCCTTTTTAGAATGTATATTAACTGGTAATCTATCAAACACTATGAAGCAAGGAATTATTACTCTAACTCCAAAACCAAACAAAGATTCTCTATTATTGGATAATTGGTGACCAATCACCTCACTATGTGATGATTATAAA